TTCGTAATAACATAAGCATCTGCCTCTTGCCCAAAATCAGCATACTCTTGCTGTAAAAAATCAACAGATCTTCTTTGTACACTAACAACATTTCCATGTTGTTCAAATTGGAAACTCTCACAGTCTGCAATTACCAAAGTCACAACTTTTACCTAATCAACAGCCCCATCTATTATTTCCTAAGCATCCACATGCTGTACGATACAATCTACGGCCTGCACACCATCACAATAAAAATCTATTTCCTGTGCATTATTGAATGTCGTATCTACAGTCTCCATGGCCAATGAAAAATCCTTACGACAACACTGTGCTATGCCCTACATTCAGTACCACTGCGTCGATTTTCCCACACACAGCCCCAACATTTTCTAGATCCTGGCTAGCGAAATTCCTAACGGACTCTTGACGACTATCGGCTAAATTTATTCCTGGTACCCTTAACCTCAACCATATGGTCATTATAATTTATCTCGTTAATGGCCCCTATAGTCAAATCGTTCTCCCTGTCCTCAGTTACATTAGTATTACATTCCTCAGGATACCTAAGTTCCTCCACAACTTCGTCAATATGTTTCTTAAGCTCTATTTCAAAAGTGATTTTACTTGTTTTAACGTTCACCCACTGCCTCCCGGTTTCCTTAATCATACGAATCTCATCTATCTGTCTCTCCTTTTTCCATTTCTCAACCTCAGCCAGTTGTTTCGTACATAATTTCTCTCTCCACTGTTACGCACTGACTTGGATCGGGAGAAATTAATCCCCTAGTTTAATTTTAATTGGCTCGTTGTAAACGGTGCCTAACAAAGGACGATACCATTGAGTCAACAATATTAAGATTTATTAAGTCTAAAGATACTTACAAAAGAAAAGAAAATATAATTACAATCTTCAACGTACAGTATGGTAGATCTTGTTCCGGTACACAGTTAACACAGTTAGAATAATGTGCCAATGAATAATGCGAAATAAACACATATAAGCTCACAAATACACAAAAAATAAAACACGCCTTTTAAAGTTAATAATATCTATCTAAAATCTCCGTCCCCCCGTGCGTGCCTGTCAATCCCTTATATAGGTCGCGTAAGCCCTGCTTTCCAGTAAACTTATGACGGTTCTAGAACAATCAAATTCATTCTACAAAATACTATTTGGAACAGATTAATTATTTTTAGTAGTTGGCGGCATTAACACGTCTAGATCAAAGGCCTAAGCCACACTCCTCTGTGAACACAGCGTCTCATGAGGGGTCAATCATAGGGCACGCACGAGAAAAATTATGTAAACAAGCTGTTATATAACACCACATATTATGATTTTCCTGCAACTTAATTAAGTTCAGCCTGTGCCAGCTCCTGGACTCTCTGATTTTCCTCCCGTTCTAGCCATTATATCGTTTTTTGTCTTGTCTATCCATCTCCTTCTTTTCTAGCTTATCTTGTCTTTCTCATTCTTTATCCCTCTCCTCCTTTGCTAGCTTTTCTATCAGTTTACAATCCAGCCACCTAATAAGAGCTTTGTCTTTATAACACAAGTCTTCTCCCTCTTCACTTATTTCTAAGATCAATGTTTCATCTACACTAGAGGCTTCATTGGCTTCGTTGTCAAAGGGGTTACATTATATATACACTTCACAAACCATTATTCTCATATTAAATATCTTTATTACATAACTAAGGTACATCTTCCACTGCCGTTTCTCACAACACCACAACACACTCTACAATAATACATAATACGTCATATCCCCTGTTACGCACTGACTTGTATTGGGAGAAATTAATCTCCTATTTTAATTTTAATTGGCTCGTTGTAAACAGTGCCTAACAAAGGACGATACCATAGAATCAACAATATTAAAGATACGACCCAAAACAGTTTCTAGTTACAATTAATAAGATTTATTATGTCTTAAGATAATTACAAAATAAAATAAAATAAAATTACAATCTTCAACTTACAGTATGGTAGATCTCGTACCGGTACACAGTTAATACAATTAGAAATAATGAGGCCAATAAATAATGCGAAATAAACACATATAAGTAGGAGCACACAAATACACAAAGAATAAAAGACGCCTCGTAATGTTAAGAAAATCTATCTGAAAAATCTCTCTCTTCTCTGTATCTGTAAATCCTTATATACATGTAGCGTAAGACGCTTCCAGAAGGACCTATGACGTGTTGTTTACATATCTCGGGTTAAGGAGTAGATTCGAGAAATTACCCGTAGACATTCTACACAATGCGTAATTGGAAGCCGATTGTAAACACTATACTTCAAAGGCCTAAGCCACACCCCTTTGTGAACACAGCGTCTCATGCGGGGTCAATCAGAGGGCACGCACGAGAAATATTATGTAAACAGGCTATCTATAACATCCCCTTTCACACAAATGGACAAAAGATACTAAGAATAATAGATAAAACAACACACATAATCTCTAAACAACACGATATAACACTATACATTCAACTCCTTAACACTTATAACCGCTAAAAACCACAAAATACTACCAACCCGCTATTAGTTCTTGACTTCTTAACCAGTGGGAAAGTCTCTAACAAATATATGTTTAATACTGCAGTCTGTAAGTCAGCTGGGTCAGCACATGTTATATACGGTTGCTAAGCAGGGGATGTCCCTTTGTCAGGACAGCCTCAACCCGATTCTGCTCGACCAGGGACTCCGCGGGTGGCCTTCCTAAGTCAAAGACACCCGGTCGGTCCAACACTGTGTTTGCACACAGTGCACACGATCGACATTCTCAGGAGTCGGGATGGAAAAATTAACGTCCTAATATCTTCCCCCATCAATCCCGGGGAAGCTTTAGACGCCTCATAAGAATGATTCTACAGTGGGTTTCCACAACGCAACTAATTTGCGATGTAGCTGGGATGAAACGGTTGCCTTGGAACAGCTTCTCAGGGCTACATAGTAAGAATCACCTGCCAGAGGTTACCACTTTCGCCTCTCGCCTCATATCCATTAACGGCAACTTGTAATCATGATCTCTACCCTGTCTGGTACTACTAATATTAGCAGTTATATTCAAACTCTTGTGAAACTACGGTATAGAAGGTTTATTATCTATTTTAATACAAATAAATAAAAACAGACTTTGAAAATTAACTACTCGTCCTGTTGAATAAGGCAGTCTTTTTAATGTAAAAATTAAAGTAATTATAACTTTTAATTCTTTTATTCTACGATTTGAGTATTACTTTTCAAGGCTTTTTAGAAAATCTTTCCGAAATATGTACGTAATGCGAAAATATTAATCCAATTCGCGGATGGTCTTGCGGGCCGCATTAGAAATTGAAGCGGGCCGATGTTTTCCCACCCCTGGTTTAGGATATAGGCTCGCCATGATTTAAACTTTAACAAAAATGGGGGACAATGATTCTCAAATTAGTGTGCACAATATAATAGCAGATCATGGTACAAAAGGGTTTGTCATTTCTTAGGGTTCTGCTTATCCCGGAAAAACAGGATAAAACTAATTTGCATCCCAAGGTTACGGAAATTACCTTATTAAAATTAACTATTTATTAAATAAAAATAATATTATATTTTAATCTCCCATTATTTTTATAAGCTTTGTTATTGAAAACCGATGTTAGGGTAATATTTTGAGAGATTAGTTAAAAGAGACAATAAAGTGTATCATTTCTAGAATGAGATAATAAATTGAATAATTTCTTGATTGAGATTATAAAGTGTAACATTTCTAGAATGAGATGACTATGTAAGAATCAGAAAACTGGAGTATATAACTTAGTGTTGGCAGAAAAATAATTTCAAATGGAAAATGTATTTAAGTGTGTATTGTACTTTGAGATAATAATTTCTTAATAAATCATAAAAAACAACAAAGAGCTTCATTTTTTAAGACTTGAAAATCAAATTTAATTTAAAGCAAAAAATTACATTTGCTACATTCTGACTATAGCATATTTATAAATATTCAATCATTTTTTTTTTAAATATACTTGTTTACAAATTATAAGCCTGTTAATTTCCAGCTTTTATTCAACTTATAATAAAATACTAAGAGGACATTTTGCAGTGCAAAAAACATTTATGGGACAAATGAAATTCCATTTAAAGACCAAAATAGTTTTAAATACTTTTCAATTTACAATTGTAATTTCGTCTATATTAAGAAAATTAAAGATACTATTAATAAATGAACTTTGAGTGTTTTTCCGCCGGGTTGGCCATGTTTTTTTCATGATGTCAATTTGTTATTCATATCGATCGATTTCGCCCTTTTATTTTGTAGAGCTTCTCAATTTGGCTAGAAAATTTCGGTTTTATTATTTTTATATTGAGAAAGTTATTTTTAAGCTCTAAAATGCCCAAGCTCCAATATTTAAATTTAGTGACATATCTATTTTAGATATGAAGGGGACAAAAAATTACCAATGAGAATTTAACAATGATCACAATTCTAGTAACTTGTACGAAAATGAAAAATTTAATTTTTAAAAATGTATAAAATTCCGAAACGACTGTTTATTTCAGACAGTTGAAACGTTTATTATATTTTAATATTTATTAAATCAAGGGTTCTTAGCTTATGTGCAGCACAGCACCACCTTCAAATTTCAAAATATTTTGCGCACCCCATCACAGCTTCAAAACAAATCCCGCAGGCACAGTGAGGAAAATATTAATACAAATTAAATCTATTTTGTCTGCGTCTCCTCCCAACCACTGAAAACACCATGTGGTGTGGACTTTCTTAGTTAAGAACCCTTGTTGTACGGAATTCAGTAAAAAAAAAAAATTATAACAGACTGGTCTTTAAATTTAATTAACTTAGAACCTTAGTTGGGACATGATAAATATTAGAAAGCCACACAGCATTGACATTAATTGTATTTGATTTCTTCAAATCTGTTTTAAAACATTGAAAGAGAAATAAGAGAGTTAACAGCAGCCTACATGTTAATAGCAAATGCAATTTTGATTAGCAGTGTTATTGTTTTTAACATGTGGAAGCGAAAGTTGGACACACTGGATACCAGCCATAGTCGTTGCCATTCTCTCGTCGTAAATATTCCAGTAGAGGTTTGAAGTAGTCCACGAGAGGCCGGGCGTCCATTTTGTATTGTCCTGTGAGGAGATACATGGCTTCCGGCCAGGGCTCCGAGGCACCGAGTTTTAACATGTTACTGGGGAAAACAAAAAGACAACAAAGCCAGTGTACTAAGTAAGTAATTATCTTATTTTTAAAGGATTAATAAACCAAGCATAAATCTCATACGAATAATCTAGCATTAAGTTAATTAGAAAAATACAAATTGGATTTAATTTCTGGGATGGTTGTCTACCTTATCTTCCAGTTAATGCATATTAGCTGTGTTGCTTAGGGTTGAAATGGGTAGAAAGACTTTGACATTGTATGCTTGTAATTAGTTTTTGTAGTGTTGCGTTTGTTTTAAATGTGGTAAATTATAGATTTTTACTCTTGTACCGTGCTTCGAGCCTTTGGGGATGAAGCGTGTTTTTTAAATACACTTTATTATTATTATTATTATTAATTGATGGAATATCCTAAAACATTTTTAAAAATTCAGAAAAAGTTCAAATTAGGAGCCATTTATATATTGAACCGCAACTCCTGAGTACGTTCGGATTCTTAAAAACAATTATAGTTATTTTCTATTTTTTGACGGAAATCAAATAATTAAATTTAAATGCGCAAATAACATTGAAATGTCTTTAAAGTGTAAATATTATTATATAATTAAAAATGCTGCCATCCGTCCGTCCGTCCGTCACAATGTGACAAGTGGGCCTCGGAGGACGATTATTCTTCAGGGATTATAGGCTGGTTCCCAACAGCAAATCGCCTCTCTACACGCCGCTGGATAACCCAAAGGAGAATCAAAGGCGCATCATTGGCACCAGTGACGTCTCCCGGTTTGATTTCAGGGTTTCCTTCTCTTAGATGAGTTGCCATCCAAGGTTAGCGGGTTATCCACCCGGGGTGCTGGTGGTATTTTTGCTTGACTGGGCTCTGGCTGGAATTGAACTCCAGACCACAACCTTGAGATTTGCTGCCAAGCACCCAAATAAAAAAATACGTTTAAAGTATCAACTAAAGAACTATTGTAGGCATTTTTTATATGTTTTAAATTGATGAACAATAAAAACAAATCTGATTAAAGAATTACTCTGTAATAACATTTATTGGGAAAACCCAAACATCAGTTGTTTTAAGTGGATGTTTTGATTAATTTTTTTTTTAAGTCTTCTGCGAAAGAAAAAAAAAGGGGGGGGGGTGCGGGGGATGAGTAATACGAAACTTTCATTTTGCCCAAGGCAGTTCAAGATACGACTCAGAATGAATATAATAAATAATTAAACTTCTTAGGTACATATATATCGGGGGTAGGAAATGGGTTGTGTATATCTTGACATGGATGACACTATCTTTAAATCCAATGATATTACTATGGTGAAAACTAAATGTTATATTCTCGTTGTACAACTGACACTATGTTTTTGATATAAGAAAATCAATGACGTGAACAAAACGTAAGGACATTTACATAATTTTAGCAATGAATATTGAAACCAAATAATTTTACACAGTTGAAAATGTGTTTAAAAAAAATAGAGATGGGTTAAGATTTTTTTTGAAAGATACATAGATAGATACATGATAGATAGACACAGAGACAGACAGACATACCGCCCGACAGACATAACAGCCGACAGACATATCGAATGACAGACAAACCGACCGACAGACATACCGACAGACAAACATACCCACCGTCAGACATACCAACAGACAGTCAGGCTGATAGGTAGTAGGTAGGTGTGTTGGTTAGGTAGGTAGGTGTGTTGGTTAGGTAGGTAGGTGTGTTGGTTAGGTAGGTAGGTGTATTGGTTAGGTAGGTAGGTGTGTTGGTTAGGTAGGTAGGTGTGTTGGTTAGGTAGGTAGGTGTGTTGGTTAGGTAGGTAGGTGTGTTGGTTAGGTAGGTAGGTGTGTTGGTTAGGTAGGTAGGTGTGTTGGTTAGGTAGGTAGGTGTGTTGGTTAGGTAGGTAGGTGTGTTGGTTAGGTAGGTAGGTAGTAAGGTAAATAGAATGATCCCTTAAAAACTTGCGCAAAAGGTATCTTTTATTCGGTCAATTTTATCTCCTCCTCATCCTCCTCATCCTTTTCATCCTCCTCATCCTCCTCATCCTTTTCATCCTCCTCATCCTCCTCATCCTCCTCATCCTCCTCATCCTTTTCATCCTCCTCATCCTCCTCATCCTTTTCATCCTCCTCATCCTCCTCATCCTTTTCATCCTCCTCATCCTCCTCATCCTTTTCATCCTCCTCATCCTCCTCATCCTCCTCATCCTCCTCATCCTTTTCATCCTCCTCATCCTTTTCATCCTCCTCATCCTTTTCATCCTCCTCATCCTCCTCATCCTTTTCATCCTCCTCATCCTCCTCATCCTTTTCATCCTCCTCATCCTCCTCATCCTTTTCATCCTCCTCATCCTCCTCATCCTTTTCATCCTCCTCATCCTTTTCATCTTCCTCATCCTCCTCATCCTCCTCATCCTCCGCATGTCCATTAATCCTTGGACCGTTGGGGCGCCACAGATGACATGTGATTCATCCTCCTCCATTTCTCTCTGTCTTCAGCACTACGAACAGCATTGCCAAGTGTTAGTCCTGTCCACTCTTTGATGTTATCCTCCCACCTTTTTCTTTGTCTTCCTCTTCTTCTCCCTTCTCTTGTGGTACCCTGCAATATTTCTTTGGCAAGCCCTTGTTCCCTTGTTACGTGGCCGCACCATTGTAGTTTGCGGTTTTTCACAGTCACCAGTAGGTCATCGTACTCCCAAATTGCCTGACCAACCCTTTCTTTCACAGTATCATGGGAGATATGGTCCCTATAGCAGATGACAAAAATGCTTCTGAAGCCTGTAATCTCAATCGCATTTATTTCCCTTTCAAGATCGGCTGTTAATGTCCAGGATTTGCAGGATTCTATTTTATCTATAATTATTTAAAATTTAATGTATCTATGTATGTTCCACTTGCGCTCCTATACCATTTATGTGATTGCGATAAAAATAATTGTAAATTGTTGAACACACGCCCGAATTTAAAAAAAAAATATTACAAACATTTTACTATCTTACATTTTAGGCCCGTGGCCCAAATTATTTTTCCCCCTCTATGAGCTACATATAAATTCTAAAGGCGCTCCTATAACATTTATGTGATTGCGATAAAAATAATTGTAAATTGTTGAACACACGCCCGCATTTAAAAAAAAAAATATTACAAACATTTTACAATCTTACATTTTAGGCCCGTGGTCCAAATTATTTTTCCCCTCCATGAGCTACATATCAACTCTAAAGGTGCTCCTATACCATTTATGTGATTGCGATGAAAATAACTGTAAATTGTTGAACACACGCCCGCATTTAAAAAAAAAAATATTACAAACATTTTACAATCTTACATTTTAGGCCCGTGGCCCAAATGATTTTTTCCCCTCCATGAGCTACATATAAAATCTAAAGGCGCTCCTATAACATTTATGTGATTGCGATAAAAATAATTGTAAATTGTTGAACACACGCCCGCATTTAAAAAAAAAAAATACAAACATCTTACAATCGTACATTTTAGGCCCGTGGCCCAAATGATTTTTTCCCCTCCATGAGCTACATATAAATTCTAAAGGCGCTCCTATACCATTTATGTGATTGCGATAAAAATAATTGTAAATTGTTGAACACACGCCCGCATTTAAAAAAAAATATATTACAAACATTTTACAATCTTACATTTTAGGCCCGTGGCCCAAATGATTTTTTCCCCTCCATGAGCTACATATAAATTCTAAAGGCGCTCTTATACCATTTATGTGATTGCGATAAAAATAATTGTAAATTGTTGAACACACGCCCGCATTTTAAACAAAAAATATTACAAACATTTTACAATCTTACATTTTAGGCCCGTGGCCCAAATTATTGTTTCCCCACCATGAGCTACATATAAATTCTAAAGGCGCTCCTATACCATTCATGTGATTGCGATAAAAATAATTGTACATTGTTGAACACACGCCCGCATTTAAAAAAAAAATATTACAAACATTTTACAATCTTACATTTTAGGCCCGTGGCCCAAATTATTTTTTCCCCACCATGAGCTACATATAAATTCTAAAGGCGCTCCTATACCATTCATGTGATTGCGATAAAAATAATTGTACATTGTTGAACACACGCCCGCATTTAAAAAAAAAATTATACAAACATTTTACAATCTTACATTTTAGGCCCGTGGCCCAAATTATTTTTTCCCCTCCATGAGCTACATATAAATTCTAAAGGCGCTCCTATACCATTTATATGATTGCGATAAAAATAATTGTAAATCCAATGTGGATACAACTTTGATATGTTGTGTGCACGCCAGACAAGGTTTCTGGATTACGTCATCCATTTCGAAATATTCCTTTAGTGGTACGGGCGGGGGGGGGGAGGGGGGTGGAAGCTAAATTATTTTTTTTTCTTAAATGAGCTATGCAAAAATAATTCCAAACAGAACTATTACATGGGGTCGATGGAATTGCATCAAATACAAGCGAAATTTCAGATTCGATGTGACATAATACGTAAATATCTGAACTGGTTCAACAAATTTACAATTTATCTTTTGGGGCTGAAGGCCTAAATTGTTTATTTTTTATTATATAAACTATATAAATATAATTTCAAAGAGAACTACTGAATGAGTGGACTAATCGCTACAAGTGTGTGAATTAAACGTTGAAGATCCATGCTTCTCACGTATGTTGCCTGCTCACGTGTCAAAAAACCCTTCTAATTTATTTGTGTAAGCACCAGACAGAAAAAACAACAAAATTTGTCTATTTAAATATTGTTTCAAAACTGTAATTAAAGCACAGACATTTATTTATCTTTGAGTGGCATTGCAACGCATAACGGCTTCTCGCTTGTTACTAATAACAAGAAAATTCCCCATTATTTCAAGTGCACTAATTGGCTACCTCAATAAGGTTCCTGCAGGCTTACTGTTGTAGATATCACATCTGTGAAGTGGACCTCTGTAGCCAGCTTCGTCACATAAGGCTTTGTGGAATTGAAACTGGAGGACTAAACTCACAAAATATCTGGAACATATTTTTATATGTCAAAGACCACAGGGGCACAATCAGAGGCGTATCGAACAAATTTCAATAATTAATAAACACATGTAGATTTACTTGATAAATAAACATTTTCAATGGGAACGTTATTGCACTATTTTTTAAAAGATTGAGTTTAGTTCGTGAAACAACATAAATAATGTTCAACTATTGTTTGAGTGATGCATGATATCCAGTTCTTGGAATATGTCTTCCATGCTGACAGAATGTGTAAGATGCTATTTGTATTTTTTTTAAAATGACATTGTCACCTGATATAAGGCGCACCGGCTGGTATATGGAACTTAGTTCCTGGGTCAAAGTCAGAAGAATTTAGAGGTACCGGTGAAGATATTCCTTGATACTTACACCTGGAGACATGCATAAAAGGCCAGCACAGGTTATTATGTGTTACTGTAAAATCGATGAAACTCAAAATTAACTCTACCATAAAATACATTTTCTTTCTCCCCGGTATGTGTCAAATGTTTATTTGTTAAATGTGTAAGATGATCTCCTAGAATCAAATGCCAATAGTTTTACGTGATACCTGAGGTTCCACCAGTGCTCATTGTACTTTTCAGGTGGGGTGTCACCTCTAAACACACTCCAGCGCCATTGATCGATCAGATAAGCAAAGGGAAGAAAAACGATTTTCTCTAGTGCCATGCTCATCAGGAAATTGATGTCATATTCTAGAGTGCGAAGAGTGTCAAGAATTTTTTTTTATTACTATAAGAGATAATATTGTGGAGATTATGCATTTTTTTAGCTGTCATAGGTCATTATTTTAGACTCTGAATGCGCCTGCGCAAACCTGCTTAAGTTGAGTAGCTTCTAATTTCCTCCCTGGTGGGGAGGGGGGGGGACCAGATAGAGGGGCATATGTTGTGTAGCATTGACTGTTTTCAGGGCATCCATATAAACGGGAAAGCCTAGTTAATTAGGGTAGTTTCTATTTTTATTGGGTGTCCATATAATGTTTCCAAGGGTCTATATAGAGGGGCAACAGAAGAGGGATATGCTTCTTGGAATGTAGATGCACGCATTCCCTCCTCTCACACTCAGACAGATGAAGTGAAATGGCGAAACAGCAGAAGTCACTGACAGTATGAGAGACTGAAAATTAATATTGTTGTGTGTATTGATGGAACGTGGTGACCTCAATGTCATGTGTTTTTGTCATTTGTATGACTGGACGTGGTGAGTTCTTTTCATTAATGCCTAAACGTAAATGCAAGAATATTGGTTGGTGAACTGAAGTGAGTAACAGCCAGATTAGAGGTATAAAAAGTAACTGAAAGAGTGCATAAAGGCTAGTTTTTACACAAACGACAGACTTGAGTAGATATATTATTACACTATTAAAATTACCACGCAGCAGAAGTCACGATACAGCGAAAATTGCGACACAGCGAAAGTCACAACGTAGCAGAAGACAAGACACAGCACAAATTAAGTCAAAGCATGGGTCACGACGGACCAAAAGTTACGACACAGCACGGGTCACGACGGACCAAAAGTCACGACACAGCATGAGTCACGAAACATCACGACTCAGGACACAGCAGGAGTCAAAACGAGACACACGTCAAGCCACAACGGAAGTTACGACACAGAAGTGGTCACGACACAGCACAGGTCAGACGTCAAAAAATAACAGACGACATGACAAAGCAGACGTCACGACATAGCAGACGTCACGACACAGCAGACGTCACGAAACAGAAGAGGTAACAACACAGCAGATGTCACGGCACAGCTGAGGTCACGGCACAGCAGAGGTGCCGGTACAGCACAGGTGACAGCACGGCAAATGTCACGATACGGCAGAGGTCACGACACATCAGAGGTCACGACACAGCAGAGGTCACGACATAGCACAGGTCATGATACATTACAGGTCATTGCACAGCAGCGGACACGACACAGCAGAGGACACGACACAGCAGAGGACACGGCACAACAGATGACACGGCACAGCAGAGGACACGGCACAGCAGAGAACACGGCATAGCTGTTATAAACATTATTCATGTAGAATCTTAGCGAGTTACGGTTAATAGAATGCTATTTTTTTTTTAGAACCAAGAACCCTAAATTTTAAACACCGGTAAGAGTTAAAACAGAGCGTCTACGGCTAAACTTTTATTCTTACTGTTACAAAGAGTTTAATTATCGATAATAAGCGTACCTGTATCATTGCCAACAGTCGGAAGGAGACCTATTGAGTGCATGTGTTCTGGTGATTGCACTGAAAGGGCGATGGTGTCACCGATAGCTTCTTGAAATCCTATTTAAGAATCGAATCAAATACGATTTAATGTTTACCTTTACAGAAGTAGTCGGTAACACATATTAACATCATTTGTTAACACTAGAAACCAGGTGTGGACTGGGGAGTTCAAGCGGCCCGGGAAAAAATCAAAGCGGCCCGGGAAAAAAAAAACAAAAAGCGGGCCTCTCTTCAGGACTTTTATTTTATTATATCACCAGTCCTAGCGGCCCATCGGGAATCTTCCCGGTGTCCCGGCGGCCCAGTTCACCCCTGCTAGAAACCACCTCCATCATGTGGCATTGATTATAAAATATATTCAATCCTCTGTCATTTGGCGTTCTTACTATGTGTCCTGCCCAGCGAAGCAAGCCCGTTTTTATTTTTATTTCTGCTACTAGCGTGGTATCCTGACATAGACAAAACAGTTACTGGTTGGTCTCTAGTATCCATCCATGTTAATCCTTTGTTAATCTATTTACTTTCCTGAGATCCTTTCTCTCCCATTTGTTTAATATTTTTTTCTGGCAGTTTTCTATGGGTCCAAAGTTTAGTTGCGTATGTTATTAATGGTCTGATTACATTTTTATGCATAGTTTTTCTAGCAATGTTTTAAAAAAAAACAAAAAACTTTTCAGTAGTTTCTGACTACTGAAGCATACGCTGTTTCCGGACGATATTATTTCTCTTCTTTCTGTTATTAATAGAACACAGGAAACAATTATGAATAAACAGAAAACTTTCCTCAGATAAGATACGTGTCGTTCATTGCAGTTTGCAACGCACGGACTTGATGCACATTCCTAACTTGACCTACTGACCTATGACGTAATGAGTTGGATTCAATGTAATACAAACAAGCACACACCAGGGTTGGCTCCACCTCTGAAGCTGATCGGCTGGTCTTTGTAATGCATGTAGTATTGGATATGACCCATCTCATGGTGAGCGATCTGCAGTTGTTCGGCTGTTATCATTGTGCACATTTTGATTCTAGGTATTAAAATAAAGGCATACTTCACACGGGATAATATTTAAAAAAAATACATTTCAAAGAAGTTTTTAAAAAAAAATTCATGATTATCAAAACCATTTATTACAAGTACAATTATTGCAACGTAAACTGATTCTAAAGATCGTGATTCCAATGGCAGTGATTACAAAGACATTTTCTTCAAAATTATCCTAAGTGCAGTTATTTCAAGTATAAGTATTGCAAGAACAGTTGTTTTTTTTCCAAGTACTGTTGTTTTAACAATTATACTCAAAATAGGCCACAATGTAGCCGTAGATGTAAATGATGCAGTCGCCTTAGTTTGATTCAGGGACGTCTTTACAAAAACTGTTCATGTAAGTGCATACAAATTATAATCTTTTAGGTCATCTTAAGTGACGACATTAGACAATGACAGTTATGAAGTCCGGACTATTAGATTTAATCAATTGTTAAAATAATAAGTTAGAACTTGATGAAACTTAAACGAGAATTTAACAAATAACTTAATCCTGTTATAATCTTTAAATGTTTCTCAATTAAATCTTTAAAATGTTAAAACGTTTATTTATTCTTAAAACTTAACCTTAAATTATTCTACCGTTACCTGAAATCTCTCCCGTTAAAAAAGTCCCAGGCCGATGGATGGCATACAACCTGTCGGCCATCTTTAGGTTTCTCGAAAAGGGATTTCTCCCAGAATGTTTCTGGCATTGGTATCATTCCTAGAGACTTGAAGAAATCGTCTGCGGTCTGAAATATCCTTAGCGCCGTGTAATTCTGTGGAAACAACGACAACGAAATATGTAACAATAAATTCTTTCTTACTGATCACAATTGACTACAACCTTATCTGCCTTAGGTACAGTATAAGAGAAAAATATTTTTAAAAATTAAAAAAATTAATGATTTCTACTGTAGTTTGTGGGACAAAATTTAATGAGACACAGTAAAATAAACATGATTAAAATGAATGATTTACCTGTCGAACCATTTCATCAGTGACGTCAATTTTAGGTTTACCCTTGTAGGGGGTCAATTCTTTTAGGAGTGAAATCAGCTGCTCACCCCATAAGTTTCCTGATCACAGGGGATATTCTCAGAGTCAATGACTGAATGTGGAGTATTTCACTAATACAAAGTCACAATCTCCCCCATTTATTTCACGTTTAGTTTCTAACCCATGACCTTGACCATAGCTCCCTTACTGTCCTAGCTCTCCTCCCTGTCTTAACAAATAATTAAAACTTAATCTTGTTACATAAACCTTGTTAGTGGGTGAGATTTTACCATCAATGAATCATTCTTCATACCAACATTAACATTTGCCTTCGCAAAGTCTCAATAACAAATCAACATTGAACTTGTTGTGAAAATAAATTAACGTGTAATTTGACATTGCCAGCATTTGTGCTCGAATCCAAGGTTTAACCTTATTAATGCTCCTCTCACCGGTTGCTGTTGTTTATTCAAGCTCCTCTCACCGGTTGCTGTTGTTTATTGAAGCTCCTCTCACCGGTTGCTGTTGTTTATTGAAGCTCCTCTCACCGGTTGCTGTTGTTTATTGAAGCTCCTCTCACCGGTTGCTGTTGCTTATTGAAGCTCCTCTCACCGGTTGCTGTTGTTTATTGAAGCTCCTCTCACCAGTTGCTGTTGCTTATTGAAGCTCCTCTCACCGGTTGCTGTTGTTTATTCAAGCTCCTCTCACCGGTTGCTGTTGTTTATTCAAGCTCCTCTCACCGGTTGCTGTTGCTTATTGAAGCTCCTCTCACCGGTTGCTGTCTCTCATTCCAACTTCTCACGTTCAAGAACACCAAACGTATCAATAAAGGGTAATATTCCAATACACCTTTAGTTTTACCCCAATGCTAAGCATTGGAATCTTGGTGAGGTGCGATGTGGTGACGTTTAATATTTTTCATTTCATCAGCTCCGAAACTGAGTGTCATCTGTTGGTCAACTTATCCATCTTCGCCATTGCCATAAATAGATGACGGAAGTTAACTAAACAGTTTGATACAGTAAGTAAATATAACATTCTTGATACCTAGACGATGTGAACAGTAGTTGATAAAACTGTTTGGTACACTAGATATATTTAATATACCACTTTCCTAAAAGACGTGCTTGGTGATGACCAAAAGTTGTTAAAACTGTTTAAGAGAGTAAATATACCACTTACCCAGAAGATGCGCTGGGATGTGACCAGAATATGGAAACTTGTCATTCCCGTAGATTTGTTTGAGTTTTCTCCTGGCGTAGGCGTGGAGCTGTTCATACAATGGACGGATCTGATCTAACAATGCTCTGACGTCATCCTCAAAGGTCGGTGTGTCGTACCAAGATCGCCAGTAGGCACCAGTGTCGGCATGGCCTGTTTGAAACCAAAAGGTTGTTTGTTAATGATTTAATATAAACTGGAAAATACACGTTTCAAAAATACCAGTCCGATTAAAAAAAGTGTGCAATGAATTTGATTGTAGTAATATTTTTAGTTGAAATTAATATTTATAAGTAGTAAATTTGTTTGTGTAGTTTAACATTTCATAACGCGGTAACAGGGTGAACAAGTTAGATTAGTTAGTCGCTCATCTAAAATGAGTGTTTCATAGAATGTAATTGCATCTTAAGTTGATTTCGTTGAAAGCAGCACTCTAAAATTGTTTCTCTCCCCTGCATTTAATGTTTATATAAAGACAAAAATGATATTTTTATGTTCAAACAATTTAATAACTCACCAAGTATTTTCAAAGCTTCGTTGCTTAATTCCACATATTCAGCATACATTTGTTTCATCTTGCCACCAGTTTCAACTCTCCACCTTAACCATGCAGCCAGAAGTTCATCGTAGTTCCGTGACTTAGCCATAAATTGAATGAGATCTAATGGAAAATTTATTTTTTAATAATCCTTAAACGGATAGTTCGTTGTAAAAATAACGCTGGCTTAAATTAATTTGAAACTCAAAATACTAGACTTGTTTCTAAATATATTTGACCCACTCTGCTTCCAAAATGACATAGCACTCTAGCATAGCTCCCTATCGTAGCACCTTATCAGCTCTAATTTTTAAGAAATTGAAAATACGTCCTTTTAAATCATTACACCAGATCTATTTACCTCTGCGCCTTCGCCGCAGTACTACGTTTTTAAGCCAAAGACAACAACACTACGACGAGCATTAAAAAAAAAAAAATTACATTTTCGTTAGTTGTAAACTCCTTTATGCTAACTGAGCTAAGCAGCTGAGTGGATTTCCTTGCACGACTTGTATTTTGATTGTAGCACGCACCCAACACCCCACCCCCCCCCCACCCTCGCGCTATCGACCAAACTACTCTTTGGAGCTTGAAACTATGATTTTGAGAGCTGAAAATACTTTTATCTGACCCTGGGAATGATCAGGTCTTAAAAAAATTACATTTTCGTTAGTTGTAAACTCCTTTATGCTAACTGAGCTAAGCAGCTGAGTGGATTTCCTTGCACGACTTGTATTTTGATTGTAGCACGCACCCAACACCCCCCCCCCCCCCCCACCCTCGCGCTATCGACCAAACTACTCTTTGGAGCTTGAAACTATGATTTTGAGAGCTGAAAATACTTTTATCTGACCCTGGGAATGATCAGGTCTGTGAAACATGGCAAGAATTATTTAATTTATAGGAAAGTGTCCGGCATGAAAATGAGTTTCTTTTATTATTAAACAATCCTTAAAAACAATGTTAAAATCCTTACAATAATTCGCCCTAAATACATTTGCGATATTTAAAAAAATCTCATTTAGCGCGGTTAACTGGAATTTTATTTCCTGAAATCAGTGGCATCATATTTTCAAAAATCTTTGCGATTTGACTGCGTTACATATATTAGTGTCTAGGTTAAAGTTTTCACTTAACTCTTAGTCTAACGTTCCTGTCAAGGGTATGAGAATCACTGTTGTTATGTGTAGCACATTGTTGTCATGTTTAATAGGGAAAAGCTGCTTAGTTAGAGCAGCGGTTCTCAACCTGTGTGTCGCGACCCCTTTTTGGGTCGCATGACCCTTTCACGGGGGCCGCCTAAGACCATCTGAAAACACATATGCTCTACAGTTACAAGGAATCAACGATTTAGTGGTTGGGGGTCGCCACAACATGAGGAGCTGTATTAAAGGGTCGCGTCATTAGAAAGGTTGAGAACCACTGAGTTAGAGCTTTTATGTGTAGCTGTATCGTTTGTGTGAGAGTGTTGTGACGTAATTGTGTAAGGGGAAGTGACGTGTGAGTTTTTAGTTTTTGTTGATAGAGGACATAGATGGCCGTTGTGTGCTGCTCAAGGCATAGTTTGTTGTGAGATGTTCAAGGCTTAACTTTTTATGTGTGAGTATTCAGCTAGACAGATAGTGAAGTTGAACGTTGATAAGTTTACAAGTTGTATTGTGAAGTACCCTGATTTGTCAGGCTTACGAGGCATATTAAAAGAATACATTGAACTCCATATCAATATATCCAGTGTTTGTTGTCGGTTACACTGGTATGTGTGGTACTAGGATGTCCCATGGTTGAGCGTCTGGATTAGAAGAGTGGATGCCCACAGGACATCAAGAGTTACATTTCGGCAGTTCCCTGGCTTGCAATCTGAGTGCAAGAGGCAACAAATGACAAATGACAACTAGTCCACAATTCAAGGTCACTTATTGATGCTTTGGAATGTGGGTCATTCATGCGTTCACTAAACTTTGGATCATGAAGAATCATTCCTAGCTTTTAGTTTATCTTAGATATGTTCATATTAGATGGACATTGTACTATTTATTCCCCACATTTTAAACTGTATAGATATGTAGTAGAAGGATTTTATCTCCTGTTAATAAAGCTTCGCTGCTAAAATTTTTCATCCGACGAGAAAAATTCCGTCCTTGAGGCCAATCTTATCTTGCAAAAGTTTTAATTTTGACTCTACTCTCCCAAAACACATGAGAGTCAAGGATATTTGCTTAATTACTTTGTATGCCTAGGGGAAAAGTGTTTTTTCAGGTTTACACAAATATCCCAACTCTGTTTTTAGTAGTGTAGCTTTTCCAAGACTAAAGAGACGGCCTTGTATTCCTCTTTCAGCCAGATGACTTGTGCAATCGTAAGACAACCCTATGTGTTGCCATTCTTTAAAAGAACACTTGTAAAACTACGTTTTGAACTTTCTATTAATAGGCTACACACACTTACATGTTTATTTTTTTATAAATACACTACAGATGTCCTACACGTTGAAAGTTTAAAAAAAAATAATATGTGCTGATATTTTTATTAGATGAGACTGGGTAGCCTTGAAAAATAACATTTGTGGCCTAAGAAAATTTGATTTGCAAACTAAATAATTTGCAGATACAAATTCATAAAAAGTTTTTTTTTACAATTTGAAGTTAACAATTTAATGACACTGCAAATATGAAAAGGAGGTGGTTGAGTGTTTTTATACGCACACAAATAATTGGTATTTAAATAAGACGACATACAGTTTCTATTGAAATGCTAATGGTTGTTATGATGTCCCGTTTATGCGAAAGAGCCCGTATTTGGAGCGAATTACATGTTTGAAAATTCAAAAAGGGCTCTAATCTTGAGCTGTTACGGAAAATCTAATGTGATATTTCTTATCCACATCGAAATTAAACCTAGAAAGAAAACTCAACCACAAGGTATCAAGTAAAACGTATTTGTTTTCCTGTTGTCCTGTGTAATATCATCATTAACGGCATCTTCAAACAACGTTCCTTAATTGAAAGAAAAAAAAAAGTAAATTAAATCCCGTCACAATATTATTGACACCGTGAACAGAGGAAGAAGGGCAAAGTATTTTCTTTTTTATGGCGAGATCATTTATGGCATCTAAATCCTAGCGGTAAAAAAACAGGTTTTATTTACGTCAGTATTCGTATAATCCATTGACCCTAACTTGCTTCCATAATTTACTCACCTGGATATAGAGGTAAAGTTTTTCCAGACGGCATAGTGACTTTAGCTGTGCTATAGACAATCGTCATATCACTAATGAGCTTGTTTAGCTGAGATGAAAAAAAAAAAAAGAGTAAATTAATGAAAAGAACGAATAATTTTATTTCTGATAAATCTGGGATTCTCGGGACGAAATATTTAACGTGGTGGGCCGCATGCAGACCGCAGGACGCGGGCTGGACACATCTGTTTAAGGGTATAAAGAGCAGGAAATATGAACAAAAACACGCGAAGGGAAATATCCGTGGCAGGGTTTTATGGAGTAACATTGAGAGGTTTGGAGTAGGAAGAATAGAGTGATGACGATTTGTGAGAAGGGTATGTGGTAAATCAACTATGGTATGTGGATAGTATCAGGAGGATAATGTAGGGGGCTGGGGAGGAGAAATAATGAAGTGAGTTGGTCTAGGAGGGGATAGGCCTAGAAATAGTGAAGTACATAGGTGAAGTCTAGACTTAGAGTCGTAGGGAAGAGCGTTGGTGAGATTGTGGGTGAGAGGGTGGGTGAAAGGTTGGATGGTAGGTGATATGGTGGATGTAGGATGAGATGGTGGGTGAAATTTTGGATGGTAGGTGATATGGTGGATGGAGGATGAGATGGTGGGTGAAATGTTGGATGGTAGGTGATTTGGTGGATGGAGGATGAGGTGGTGGGTGAAAAAGTGGATGGTATGGAATTGGTTAATGGTGAAATGCGGATTAAGATGGTGTGTGAGATGGTGGGTGAGATGGTGGGTGAGATGGTGTTGATATTGTTGGTGAGATGGTGGGTGAGATGGTGGGTGAGAAGGTGGGTGAGATGGTGGGTGAGATGGTGGGTGAGATGGTGGGTGAGATGGTGGGTGAGATGGTGGGTGAGATGGTGGATGAGATGATGGGTGAGATGGTGGGTGAGATGGTGAGTGAGATGGTGTGTGAGATGGTGGGTGAGATGGTAGGTTAAATCGTCGGTGACATGGTTTGTGGACATGGTTTGAAAACGTTGGCTCACAGACAAACGTTGGTCCCAACACTTATGCCATACCAGTGGCAATTTTATTCAATTTTGGAAACTCAACATCAGGGAAAAAATGATTTTTTAAAAAGTTTTCATTCTTTATGCTTCTCTTTCAATACGTCAATTGTTTGCAATTCAATGAGCTCCAACTATAGGTCAACTGACACATTTTCAAGGCTAAAGGCAAAAAGATTCTGGGACAGAAGAATGTCATTCTCATTTCTGTCAAGTTTTGATCATGTCTCGAACAAATGCTTCTTCAGGTGACTTATTATTGTTTTCGGAAAATCGAAGTTGACACCCTTTTCGATTGTAACGCAAGAATCTTCAAAACAGTGAAAATGAGAATACAATTTTTGTTCCAGTTTTGCTTCAAGCAATGACAGTTTTCTCCGAAATCATTGGATGCTTCTGTAGAGATCAGAGATGAGGTTTTACTTTCCCTGAAATTTCAAGTTCAGTTCATTCACGTTGGATGTGCTGTCGACCACTAAGAACAACTTTGACAGCCGGGTACAGTCTGATAGATCTGAATCAGCTCTATCTGTTTCAGTGAGAACTAAATCTATTTTGTTTCGGAGCTTGTAAAAACGAAACAGGATTTTAACACAGCTGAGCCACCTCACTGCTGTCGTGAGGCAAACCACACAATTTAAGAATCAATTTCTTCAAGAGAAGCCTGGAAATGAAGGTGATTGAGTGCATGTCCCCGAAGAAAGTTCATTGCAGAGACGACAAGTTTCATTATACAATAAACATCAAAGCCTTTCCCTCAGACTGTTTAATGAGGTATGATGCAGTGTATGAACTGAGCGCCTGGAATTTCCAAATCTTTTACCTGAGTTCTGATCTGCCCCACCAGACCCTGCCTCGCACCAGCCAAGTTGTTCTCCAACTATAGCACATCGAAGCTGATCCCACTAAATGCTATAGAGTGCAACAGTTGTTGCACTTCCATGTAGAGACCGACCGAAAGTGATTTTCTGATTTCGGCCGAAGCCGAAAATAGGCCGAAAGTTTAAAATGACTTTTGGCCGAAACCGAAAAAAGGCAGAAAGTTTAAAAATGACTTTCGGCCGAAACCGAAAAAAGACCGAAAGTTAAAAATGAATTTCGGCCGAAACCGAAACCGAAGCCGAAACCTAAAATGAAATATTAAGTTATTTTGAAATTCGTTCCCGCATACATTCTGCTTACATCGAAAATGATGTGGGAAAATATAAATATTGACATTCTTTTTATAAAAATGAGATAATCGTAAATATTAATAAATAAAAATATAATTTAGGGTTCTCAAACTCGCGGCCAGCGAGCCATTTGTGACCCGCAAGATGATATTTTGTGGCCCGCTACATGACAGAAAAATTTAGTGTAAATGCGCCGGCCCGTTTCCCCCATTCTCATATATATAACGTGACTCTCCTCGACGGTTTCAGTCGAATCTCACTGACTAATCTAATTCTGATTTTTTTTTTATGTCTCTATATATTTTTTTATGCCAGCTCTCTGGCAACAGTGAGTAGCTCTTGAGAACCCTTAATGATTTTTTTGTTATTTATAAAGGTTGACCAGATTGTAACAGTTGTAATCGCTTTTCTATGGATTACTTGATGCGGCCCACTCTCATTCAGACACTACCTCCTGCGCCCCCCCCCCCCATAATTAGAGTTTGATCTTGATCTAATGAATACTTTGGATTTTACCATTTTAATATACAACTAATTTAAATTGCTTTACAATTTTTTTCAAATTTGTATGGTAGGAGAAAATTTGGCAGAAATTGGGGGGGGGGGGGGGGGGGGGGAAAATAATGCAAAAATTTTTTTTTTTTACTAATTTAAATTGCTTTACAATTTTTTTTCAAATTTGTATGGTAGGAGAAAATTTGGCAGAAATTGGGGGGTGGGGGGGAGGAGGGGAAATTAATGCAAAATATTATTTTTTTGAAACCGGGTCTCTAAAAAATGTGGTTCTAAAAGATCACTTAATTTGTTCTTAAAGATCGCTTAGTTTGTTTTAAAGATCGTTTAGTTTGTTCATAAATGTTGTTTAGTTTGTTGTTAAATATCATTTAGTTTGTTCTCAAAGATCGCTTAATTTGTTCTTAAATGTCGCTTAGTTTGTTGTAAAATATCGCTTTCGCTTAGTATTAAATGACCGAAAACCTGAGTAACTTTCGGCCGGATGGCCGAAAGTCTAAGTCAATTTCGGCCGAAACCGAAGAAAAACCGAAAGTTAACTTTTCTCTTTCGGCCGAAACCGAAATTAAGCCGAAAGTCAACTTTCCAGTTTCGGCCGAAACCGAAACTTGGCCGAAATTGATAAAATGGCCACTTTCGGCGCCGAAACCGAAGCCGAAGCCGAAATTCGGTCGGCCTCTACTTCCATGAAAATGTCTTTTCCAGTTGTCGTTTCATCTACGATAGAAACGGATGCCCACTCTTCCGTTATCTCTAAGTTGACAGCAAAATGACAACAACAAAAAAACATACAAGAAATTGGGGACATACTCGCGAGATCACCAGATTCATCCAGGCTCAGAGAATACCGCAGCAAATTTCTAGCTTTCTCACGTGTATGTAGCACTATGTTCCCTTCAAGTTCTTTTCTTCTCCACACAACTGAGTTTCCCAAAAGGCTTATAGTACTGATCACGGCGAGAAAGATATTTAATACCACCGTATGTTTCCAACACTTATCTTCCTTTCGACCATTTACAGTGTGGTAGCTATCAGACTATAATATATTAGCGGGAATAAGATTAATTGATATTGATTCTTATTTCATTATTTTTTTAACCACCTTTTCCTTTAAAAAGAACAACAACCTCAAGTTACTTGGTAGATTTGTTTAAAATATAATTTCATTTTTAAGCTGATCTTACTTCAAATTTGAACCAAGTTAAATTTTACCAGCAACTTTATTTTTACCAGTGAGAGACGGTGCTAATGTGATCTGTACGTCTCTTCACGCCTGGAAAAAAGTGACTCAAATTGCAACAATAACGTCCGTCATCTCGTTGTAGAAGTAAAAATTTTTTTTTACGCCAGCTTAAGTCGAACCCACCAAGCACTTCAACACGAGTAGCCATTGTATTCATTATATATCCCGTTGGCTTATTTATTTACTATTAAGATCCCGTATAGTAAGATTCTCACACGCTATTGTACGATTTTAGGAGTTCGAGGTTAATTAGGTCTGCAATAAACACGAACATCTAGATACAATAATTTAAAATTAAAAATGGTAAATTTAAGAGTCATGGCAGCCAGGAGGTCTCTCACGTGTGAAGATCTCCTGTATTCTAAACATAATATTTAAATTGCATCACATCTCGTTTCCCATACGTTTTATCAAGCAAATTCAAATACCGTCGGTGGGCCGGACGAGCTAATGTCGCGGCCCCGCGGGCCGCAGTTTGGTGACCTCTGAACTATAATATAAGTTATCATTATAACAAGACTTATAATCAGGGGTGGCCAAAATATTCATCAGGTGGGTCAAATTTCAGAAATAATATTTCCTTCTGGGTCACGCACCTAATTTTTTTGTTTATTTAAGGAAACGAGAAAGCGTGCTACGGCTAGACCACATTGTCCCTTCCCAGAAGGTGATATCGTGGACAAACGCTTGCCTGGTTTAATGTGAACAAAAACAAGAAATATGTAAATTTATTTATTGTAAGAAAATAAAATATTTTCGTGTTGGCCGACACCGCTTTAAACATTTCCTTACATTTGACAGTTTGGTAACATTGGTCTGCGCAGCTGTTCCAATGGTCATGATATTATCAAAAATTCTCCTGTTCCTGGGAGTCATGGCGGTAAGGTTAAACTTTGTAGCATTTTCATAGGCTTCCTGTTTGAACTTGGATACCACACCCTGTTCCTCCAGCTGATAAATAAACATCACATATCTATTAATCAAATCGATCTTATAATTATACAATTTCACTTGAAATCCCCATATTTGTGTACTTTCAATATGTGAATTTATTTTTTGATCCTTTCCATTTGTTATTATAATTCTTTAGTATTGTTCGTCAAGCACTCCATAAATAGTGCTATTATTTTTAAAAGATGTATAAGAATTTTAAAAAAAAATAATTTATCTAATACTGATACAAATTTACGCATTTTTTTCAAAAAATAAATATTTTCAATTTTATCTAATCAAAATTCCCACATCTCTAGAAAAGAAAAAGAAATTTCGAATTGAAGAATACATTGTTTGCAATTGTAAATTCTGAGAATGAATGCAGTCGCAAAGACAGTCTCTCTTGATAACACTAACTATCGTAGGGCTCAAGAAAGCTTTAGAAAGAAAAAAAAACCTGCATATTCTGAAAATACATAATTGTTTGAAAGTTTTCTCACTTCGCCTTAGTTCCAGATATACGAAATGAAATTTATAACTACAGTGATGGTGTAGGATGACATTGGAAAACAATGAAATACATTTGTCCCTAGCTAATCAAGGTAATCAGTTCCAGACTCTATAGAAAGGATGGGGGTTTCGACGAGGTAAGATTATTTATTTATCAATTGAATATTTCGTTGTTACTGTTCACGCCCCTTTAAGTACGGGTTTAAACAACACTAGACGCTCTTGGGATGCTCGAATACATAGGCCTATAGTCCATACGTAAGGTGATTTTTAATTTAAGTTGTAATACAGCGGTGTATATTTGATTCAATTAATCCAGAGCACTCTCACTTGTTTTCAAAATCTAATGTTATGTTTGAAAAAAAAAAAAAAAAAAACTGGTACAGAGTGAAGTCGTGAAAGTCAAAGCGAGAAGTTGCAAGCGGCAACCGTAGACTAAACAAACAATTATTTGTTTTCAAAATCTAATGTTATGTTTGAAAAAAAAAAAAAAAAACTGGTACAGAGTGAAGTCGTGAAAGTCAAAGCGAGAAGTTGCAAGCGGCAACCGTAGACTAAACAAACAATTACTAGATTTACTTGACTTATTGAACATGCAGACTCTGTAACTAAAGTTGTTTTAGACTTACATAAAGTTCCTTATTGTCATTTGTAATGTTCGTTTCGTAGTTCCAAGCCGATTCCCTTAGTCTCGGGACCAAAATCTGTGCCTTGCTACTATAGTTGTCCAGGAATTCCTGAATCTCTGTAGGGTCACTTACCTTCTGACCTTTGACCCCAAATAAGGAAGAGATGGCCACTGCCAGGTAAAAAAGTATCGCGTGGAACATTCTTGAATGTTTACTGAAACTAAACATTTGAAAGAATATTTGGTCATTGGCAACGAGTCGATGTGCCAAGTTTCAGTTGGATAGCTGAACAGGAATATCATCAAAGAGCCAGTCACAAAACAAATGCAGAGTTAAGCAAAGAATTTCAAAAGCAAACCGAACCCATTCTGGCATCACAAGGTGGATGACAAAAAAAATATAAAAAAATCAGGACAGGGAACTAAACAATGACAAAGTTAATGGTGGCACCTTCAATCATAAATGAAAGTCAAATTACTTTTGTTGTCAATTTTGACTGGAAAAAAACAACCGACCTGGGTTGTCGACGCAACGATCATCTGCAGAACGACGTCTCTGAGACGAAGCAGAGACACGTTTGCGTTCCCTTTCATTCTGTCAGTGGAGACACCTGATAAGGGACGAAAACAACCAACATACTTGCCAACTGCTGTTAGTTCTTGATACGTGTGAAGTTTTCGATCCGATCTCTGTTTAACACTGCCGTCTGTTTTGAAGACACCTAAGTCAGCACCTGTTATATACGGTTCTTAAGCTGGTCTCAATCGATACGATCTTTAGCCCATTCTCGTTTATGTTTTTTTTATATTGCTATTAGGGAACGTGCGACCTGTTGATGGTCAATACAGGCAAGCTGAGAATACGAGGGCACTAAAATTATTTAAGCTAAATGTCCTTAAAGTTTTATAGTGTAACACTATAGCACTTGACGAAAATAGACGTTTTACGAGCAGCGATTTTTGACGAAGTCAACAAACAGCTATATTATTTTTTAAAGGGATATATTCTAATGTCCCCAGCCAGTTTCACACTGCAGATTTATTACACCAATTATTTCAGAAAAAATAAAAGACAATACAACGCACCAAGGCGCACTTGCCTCATTTTAAAAAAAAAAAAAGAAAAAGAAAGAAAATCATTTAGTGCAGTTAACTGGATTTTCATGTCGTGAAATCAGTGTCATCATATTCCCTTCATCTTCCCCTTAGAGCAGAAAAAAAAGCAGAATAAATACTGATTTTGGGGGTTGAGTGTGGAGCAGAAAATTTGATAGAGCGAATTGCCAACATCATCAACAAAATAACGGAAAAGAGTTCTCACGATGTACAAATACTGTGCCATCCAATGAGGTTTCCCTCTAACAATAAAGTGTTATGTTTATGACTAGAATAAATGAACCGCTGTCATCGGGATAATAATGGTAGGTCCTTTGCTATAGTTTCTACCTGCTATTGCGAAACCTCATCATAATTCCTAACTTTAAAAAGAAGTATCTGTGTAATGATATTTACGTTTCTAACAACATTAAATTTTGAATTGTATTTTTCTGCTACGTACCCTACTCGGTTTCACGCCCCTAAACTACATTTTCCCCTCTAAACATAACCTTAAATTACCCAATCAAAATTATCACCAATTATATCACTTTTGTCACTAAAGAAGTTAATTAAGGGATGATTTCTACGTTAGAGAATTTGTTTCCTTGAATTCTAACTTTTTTTCTCTAAAAATTGTTAAAAACATACTCTTAAATTTACAACAAAAACTCTTTGTATGATATAAAAATATTTTATATTAAAGTAATCTTATATATTTCTATCTTCATCAAAAATTTAAACACACTTTTGACTTGTTTTTTTTTAAATCATGCATTATCAGAAAATCGTAAAACAGTTATTTCTTTTATTTAAAGAAAAATCTCGCAACCGTTTTTCAGACTTATGTGTCTTTTTTTAAAAAAAACATTATTATAAAAACGCACACCCACTTTACTTTTCGCAAAGTAAAAATCAAAAATATATTTTCATTTTTTAAAGAAAATATTAACCAATCTCAATCTTCCAAAATTAAATCTTCAAGTGTGTAAAATGATTGGGTTTTGCTATTTATGGGTATACTTTAAAAAATATACTAAAGTTTTGATAACGCCATTGATTTTCTAAATTGGTAAAAATAAGTTTAATTGTAAAAAGAGAATTTAACATCCATTTTTTTTCATAAATGTAATACAATAGGATATAAATATTTTGTCATCCACGTAAATATGTACACATTCTTTCCTACCTCCGATATGTTTGTACCCAAGAAGCTTAATTATTTATCAAATTAATTCCTTATTTTGAGATGTATCTTGTGCTGCCTGTGGCAAAATGATTAAACCCACCTTCCAGATTTAAATAAAATTAATAAAATCTTCCACCAGATTGTAGTCCCTTCATACAAAAACTAAATTTGCACTTCATATGGTTTGTTCTTATTTGGATAAGTTATAAGTAGATTGGTGAATGCTATCACCATGGAGCTTCGCGGCCATGATTGATTGAAACGGCATTTTCGTATTTAAAATATATGTAAAGGTTAAATTTTTATTACGTTATAAATTTAATAAAAGTATATTTTTGCAATTAAAAAAGGTAAAACTTATTAAATTTTACAAATACAAGACAAAAATGTTGGTATAAATCCTTTATAAACTGTAACATCGAGCCATTTAACATGCATTCAAGTAATGCACTTTATAAACTGTAATATCGAGCAATTTAACATGCATTCAAGTAATGCACTTTATAAACTGTAACATCGAGCCATTTAACATGCATTCAAGTAATGCACTTTATAAACTGTAATAGCGAGCAATTTAACATGCATTCAAGTAATGCACTTTATAAACTGTAATATCGAGCAATTTAACATGAATTCAAGTAGTGCACTTTATAAACTGTAATATCGAGCAATTTAACATGCATTCAAATAATGCACTTTATAAAATTCTCAATAAGTGCCCCCCCCCCCTTTTTGTTTTTTCTCCTTTTTTTTTTTTTTTTTTCTTGGTTTTTTTTNATGCGCTTTGTTTCCTTTTTTCATAAATAAAAATCTCATTTAGCGTAGTTTCTGGGAATTTTTTTTTTTTTTTTTTCCATCTTCCCTTTAAAAATGGGAAAAACTCTTTTTTTTTCCGGGTTGGGCATTCAGGCCATAACAAAAAAAAAAAAATGTGTTGTCATTGAGTCTATCAGCTCGATAAGGAAACAAGAAGTGGGTCAATTCGCCGTCCGAAGATTTTTTCCAGCTCGCCAGTCCGCCACCCAGCATGCCAGCCATTCACAAACAGAAGCGATATTCATATAAATGATTTCGAAAATAAATACAATCTCTGCAAGTAAGAGATGAATAATATGGCCGTCACAACAAGGTTGATGCTGGTATTGATGCAAGGCAAAAAGACAGCTCGCGGGTACAACTTTAGAAAGAAAATATTAATCTTGATGCTCGTATTGGAGCAAATAGAAAGCGTATTGGAGCAAATAGAAAGCTCGCGTGTACAACTTTAGAAAGAAAACATTAATCTTGATGCTGGTATTGGTGCACATAGAAAGCTCGCTGGTACAACATTAGAAAGCAGATATTCATCTATTTACACTATTTTAAATAAATCTCTTGAATTTTTGTCCTGATCACCATTTTGGGGCCCACTGCAGGATTTTGCGTAAAAATTGTATGATATCTACAATAAATGGTTCATTTCTAGAATGGGATATGAAGTATATAATATAATTTCTAGAAGGGGCTATGAAGTATATAATCTCTAGAATGGGATATGAAGTATATAATTTCTAGAATGGGATATGAAGTATATAATTTCGAGAATGGGATATAAAGTATATAATCTCTAGAATGGGATACGAAGTATATAATCTCTATAATGGGATATGAAGTATATAATCTCTAGAATGGGATATGAAGTATATAATTTCTACAATGGGATATGAAGTATATATCTCTAGAATGGGATATGAAGTATATAATCTCTAGAATGGGATATGAAGTATATAATTTCTACAATGGGATATGAAGTATATATCTCTAGAATGGGATATGAAGTATATAATTTCTAGAATGGGATATGAAGTATATAATTTCTAGAATGGGATATGAAGTATATAATATCTAGAATGGGATATGAAGTATATAATTTCTAGAATGGGTTATGAAGTATATAATATCTAGAATGGGATATGAAGTATATAATTTCTAGAATGGGATATGAAATATATAATATCTATAATGGGATATGAATTATATAATTTCTAGAATGGGATATGAGTATATAATATCTAGAATAAGATATGAAGTATATAATTTCTATAATGGGATATGAAGTATATAATTTCTATAATGGGATATGAAGTATATAATTTCTAGAATGATATATGAAATATATAATATCTAGAATGGGATATGAAGTATATAATATCTAGAATGGGATATGAAGTATATAATTTCTAGAATGGGATATGAAGTATATAATATCTAGAATGGGATATGAAGTATATAATTTCTAGCATGGGATATGAAGTATATAATTTCTAGAATGGGATATGAAGTATATAATCTCTAGAATGGGATATGAAGTATATTATTTCTAGAATGGGATATGAAGTATATAATTTCTAGTTTGGGATAATAAAGTGTATAATTTCTAGGATAAGATAATTAAGTAATTCATTTATAGAATAAGTTAATAAAGTGTATCATTTCTAGATTGGGATAATAAAGTGTATAATTTCTAGAATAAGATAATTAAGTGTTTAATTTATAGAATAAGTTAATAAAGTGTATCATTTCTAGATTGGGATAATAAAGTGTATAATTTCTAGAATAAGATAATTAAGTGTTTCATTTATAGAATAAGTTAATAAAGTGTATCATTTCTAGATTGGGATAATAAAGTGTATAATTTCTAGAATAAGATAAGTAAGTGTTTCATTCCTAGAATAAGTTAATAAAGTGTATCATTTCTAGAATGGGATAATAAAGTGAAACATTCTAGAATGGGATAATAAAGTGCATCATTTCTAGAAAAAAATACCAAGTTGTATCATTCTTGAATAAGATAATATAATGTATCCTGTCTACAATGAGATAATAACGTGTATCATTACTACAATGATATAAGAAAGGAAGAATTCTAAAACTGTTTGAATAATGCAAAGACTGAGCTCTGTGAGGTCGATGCTCAGCACCACTTGCTCGAATGGTGTTACAGGGGATTTCGCCTCTTCGTGGCGTGACCAACTAGTAGGAGGGGGGGGGGGGCGGGGGTTCCCTTCTGAAGCTAAAAAATCCCAGCCAAACGCATGGGAAGTTGCGCGCTAACATGATGACGTGTCGCCGATAATGGATATTAGGCTTGAGTTTTTCTTTCAAACCCTTGCTGAGGATTAAAAACATGCGGCCTTGAGAAAGCCGCTCCTAGGTGACCGTTTCGTCCCGACACAGTCCAGACCGAACCTCTCCCTGAACGGTGGGTTGAGGTAACGCAACGCCTACCCCGGAGAGGGAGTAAAGCCGTTTTGACCCATGTCCACAAAATTCCCAGGATTTGTGGGAGAAAGCTAAGCTTGTGACTGCTCCCAGAGTGGAGGCAAAAGCCGTGCCACACCATGGAACGTAAGACTCCCTGGGCGTAGGGGGGTGGCAACGCAACATCATCCCCGGAGAGGAAGTATAGCCGTTCCAACCAAACGTCCAGACCGAAATACTTAATGGGTAAGGGGGGGGGGCTGTGACGCAAAACTGTCCCCTCATGAGTGGAAGCAACCTGCCCAAAACCCCGTTACTCAAAGCCGAGTTACATGGCAGGAGTCCCCAGGGACTACTAGGGTATGTGTCACGGCCAAGGTCCTATAAGATAGAATCTCGGCCTCCGAGTATTGATCTTTATTAGTATTGGCAGAATATTTTTTATTTGAAAGAGTATTTTAGTTTGTGTTGCGCTATAACAGGTCAATTTCTAAATATATAGTAAATGACAACAAAGAGCTGCATTTTCAAGAGATAGAAATCCAATTTAATATATGAAAGTAATAAATTATAATTTTAAAGAAAAACTATAACATTTTATTAAACTCTGACTATGTCATAATTATATATATATATATATATATATATTTATATAAATAAATATATATATTATATATATATATTATATATGTATATATATATATATATATATTTATATATATATAAAGATATAAATAGGCACAAAATTAAAAAATATAATTAAATACAACTATTTTAAATTTTTAAGCTCCTTTATTTCCAGCTTTTATTTAGCTTATAAATCAGTCGGGAAAATTATAAATCAATTCAAATTACGTTTAGTACCAACTTATTTTTTAAATACTATTCACTCTATTGAAATTAAAATTGAAATTTTATTAATAAATGACCTTAGAGGTTTTTTCCCTTCAGATTTTCTGGGTTTTATTAATGGGTTGTATTCGTTTTAACCTTCTTTTTACTATTACAGGGATTTATTTTCTAGATTAAATTATACCTTGTCCATTTGGTATATTCGTTTATCATATATAATAAAGTTTTTCAATTTAATAACAAAGCATCTTAACAGCTAAAACATATGACAGGATATAAACACATACAATTATGATTTAAGATTTTCACTGCTCAGTTGAAATGTATCCATATAAAAGAATATAAATAGAAATTCAAATTAAATCAAACAAGCCAAAAAAATATTATTTTTCGAATAATCCTTGATAAAATGTAGTACAAAGCAATTCGGGGGGGGGGGGGGGGGGGGGGGGGTGTGGGGGTAAGCACAAGTATGTTCAAAAGCTGTTTGATAATATTCTAATGACAAACCTGCTTTACAGTGGGGATTTATTTCAAATACAATTTTTACAACCAAGGAAAAAAAAAAATTTAAAAAAAAGTATTACGAACCGAATGCACTTGCAAAATTTCTTTGAACATAGTCTAAGTTTTAGCGATGTTATCAGGAATTGTATTTGATCTTCCCTTTGAAAAACAGGAACAACTGATTTTTGGCGTAAAAGAATATTATTGAAGATTTTGTACAGCCTCTGATATTGGCTTGAATGACTCGGTTTTTGTTTTCATTAGTTTAACACATGTATTTTAAACGTGGAAAGTGCCCAGGTTGCAATATATTAATATAGCGCTATCTTTGTTTATGAAAGTAAATTTGTAGATCTGATATTAGATAATCCACTCTAAAGAAACTATCAACGATTACATTTACTAGTAGTTTCGTGTACACAATGTAAAATTAACTATAAATATCATTCGTATTGAAATACCATCAAGTTTGTCTATCTCATATAATGGAATGTTGAAACAAGTGTATGATACTATCTAATAAAGCTAGGTTCTTGGCACCGCCACACCACCACGACATGTCAACACATTTCCTGAACACCTTCTCTAGTTTAAAACATATATCCCGCAACGCCATGATCGAACATGCAAATAAAAATGAATATAAACTGGCTTTCGTGGTCTCCTCGCACTCAGAGAAACTGCATCTTCCATCTTTTACAACTCCATGAGGTGCTGGCTACCATGGTTACGAACACTTGTTATAAAGAGTTCAGTAAAACATTTCATTATAGACGAGTCTAAAATTTAATAAACTGAGCAAATTAGTTGTAACATTGAATGCTAGAAAGGCACAGAGCATTTACATTAATATGTTTGATTTCTTTCCATCTGTTGTATAACATCCCAAGAGAACTAAAAGATTTTACATCAACCATCGTGTTAATAGCAAACTTAAAACAATTGAAGATAAAAATAGACTATTTTGATTCGCAGTGTTGTTATTGTTAACATTTGGTTTTGGCGTAGTTGTGGGGGCGAACGTGGGACATATTGGATGCCAGCCATAGTCGTTGCCATTCTCTTGCCGTAAATATTCCAGTAGAGGTTTGAAGTAGTCCATGAGAGGCTGGGCGTCCATTTTGCGCTGTCTTGTGAGAAGATTCATGGCTTCCGGCCACGGTTTTGAGGAGCCAAGTTTTAACATGTTACTGGGGAAGACAAAACAACAACAACTGAAAGTACTCAGTATGTATTTATCTTTATTTTATTAGAATACTATTAGAGATACCCATCGTTGCCCGTGATTGCATTCAGAAAAAAACAACCCCTACAGCCTTCTCCTTCTTCTTCTACATCTTAAGGGCCCACGATCAATGTATTGATCATTTTGGCTCCTATGCATGTAGATGGGATTTGCAATGTTTCTGTTACTGGTGGTGATGAGGAAATCATGCACTTAGGGGTTTGAAGGCTTGAGGCAATAGACACAAATGTGTCTAGTGTTGTCGCCTCAACCGTTCCTTTTTGAAAGATTTTCCTGTCCCTGATTGTCTGGGGCAGGAATGAGCAGCTCCTATACTGGCTTCTTGCTGGTATGAGCCTGAATTGCCTGTCATGGCCTCGTCGCTGTCTATGGGGAGAGGGATGAGTTTCTGTTTAATGCTGGAACAGTGGACCAGCCCATTATTTATCTTGTACATCATGGAGAGCCTGGATTGTCGTCGTCGTTTCTCCAATGGTTTCTCCTTTTAATTAGCATGAAAATTAAGCACCATGTAAAAAAGAAAACTAAACCACTCATGTAATAAAAAAAATTCTTGATCTCCTATAAATACATTTATAACAACGTATGTGAAACTTTCGTTCCCCGTTTGGGTCTAGAACTCGGTTTAATCCCAATAACGGTTGATTCCGATCCCGGTTGGATTCCGATATTGTGGGGTTCCCAATCGCGTCAGGATTCCGATTCCGTTCGGCCCCGATCCCGTTGGTATCCGATGGGATCCTAAAAGTGGTTGGATCTTTATCCCGTTAGGATTACGATCCCTGGGGGATGCCGATCCTTGTGGGTTCTTGATCCCGTTTCTCGTTGGGATACCGATCCCGTTGGATCATAATAACGGTGTGATGCCATTTACGGATGGGATCTTGATACTGGTCGGATTCCGATACCGTGTATTCCCGATCTTGGTGGAATTCCGATACAGGTGGGATTACAATCCCGGTGAAATCCCGATCCCCTGGGATTCCGAACCGGTGACTTCCCGATCCCGTTGGGTGCCGGTCTCGGTGGGTATTTTAATAAGCTTTTAGGTACCATCATATATCCCCGTAGAACAATATAGAACTTTCTGGAATATTCTAGATTAAATTTAATATCCTCCTCGAAACGTGTAACACTTGTCTTTTCTTAGTAATTATTTTTTGAATACGAAAAATATACAACTAAATTCACTACAATCACTATAGTACATTTAAATTGAAAGAGGGGCCCCAGCGGGGCCATAATTGTACCGAATCACTTTAACATGAGTGGGGGGGGGGTGCATAAAAATCATTCTTATAAATTATGGAGTTGAAATTTAAAATTAGTCCCATTTAAATCTATTTAATAATGCCATAGATATACCTTTTTAAATTTTTCGAACTTTCTAGAAAATTCTAGATTGGATATTTTTAGTTTGAATCCACTAATATTTCTATACGGAGAATGAAGCTGGTAATGCTACCAAGCTAGGTCTAGAGCCATCAATTGACGTAGAACCTATAGGGATTTCTAAGCCCACCGACATTTATATTGCGTATATTAGGAAACAGGAAATTGGGTCCACGGCCCCAGAGGAATGGATATTATGAGTTCAGTACCCTTAGATATTTGCATATGCATAATCAAGTGTATAAGAACTAAATTTTGTCAAAATCCATCTATTCCCAAATCCATCTATTCCCAAATCCATCTATTCCCAAATCCATCTATTCCCAAATCCATCTATTCCAAAATCCATCTATTCCCAAATCCATCTATTCCCAAATCCATCTATTCCCAAATCCATCTATTCCCAAATCCATCTATTCCAAAATCCATCTATTCCCAAATCCATCTATTCCCAAATCCATCTATTCCCAAATCCATCTATTCCCAAATCCATCTATTCCCAAATCCATCTATTCCCAAATCCATCTATTCCAAAATCCATCTATTCCCAAATCCATCTATTCCCAAATCCATCTATTCCCAAATCCATCTATTCCCAAATCCATCTATTCCAAAATCCATCTATTCCAAAATCCATCTATTCCAAAATCCATCTATTCCATAATCCATCTATTCCCAAATCCATCTATTCCATAATCCATCTATTCCCAAATCCATCTATTCCAAAATCCATCTATTCCCAAATCCATCTATTCCCAAATCCATCTATTCCAAAATCCATCTATTCCAAAATCCATCTATTCCAAAATCCATCTATTCCATAATCCATCTATTCCAAAATCCATCTATTCCAAAATCCATCTATTCCAAAATCCATCTATTCCATAATCCATCTATTCCCAAATCCATCTATTCCATAATCCATCTATTCCCAAATCCATCTATTCCAAAATCCATCTATTCCCAAATCCATCTATTCCAAAATCCATCTATTCTTGTATATCTAAAATTTAAAAAAAAGAATCCGGGGCCTCCGGCCTTAAATGAAATGTTATAAAAGTTCATAACCCCCAAGAGTTACTTTCACATAATGGTGGATACATGTTTTGTAGAGATCCATCAATCCACAAAAAGCCTTCGTGGAAAAAACAAATCCACAAAAAAAAACAAACAACAAATAGACCAATAAACAAAGTTTTACTTATATGCACATGTATGATATTTCATATTATATACATTATAAAACCAAGGCGAAATGTCAGTTATATTTATGCTTTTAAGTTAATTAAAGAAAAATACTAGATGCAATCCATTGAATATGTTACAATGATTAAAATTACTACTTAATTAAAAAACGCAATGCATTGAATTAAATTAAACTAAGGACTATACGTATTCGTAACATCCCCTATCCCAAAATTCATCAAAGGCGTATCAATAAATATTCAGATTCACGTTCATAATGAAATAGTTTCATCTAATCCCCTCCTCTACCACAAGAGGAGGGGACGGTCACAAGTGGATTTATATAGTTAAATGGAGATGTAGTGTAAATAAGTTAGATATCAGAGACGCATACTTTTACGTTAATAATGATCATACAATATGCATACTAACTATAACAACATAGGCCACGGTTCAATAACTACACAATAAGACATATTCCAAGTTCAATAATAGGCTACCTGAGCAAAGTTCCTGCAGGCTTACTGTTGTAGATATCACATCTGTGAAGTGGACCTCTATAGTTAGCTTCGTCACATAAGGCTTTGTGGAATTGGAACTGGATGACAAAACTCACAAAATATCTGGAACATATTTTATATGTCAAAGACCACAGGGGCACAATCAGAGTCGTATCGAACAAATTTCAATAATTAATAAACACATGTAGATTTACTTGATAAATAAACATTTTCAATGGGAACGTTATTGCACTATTATTTAAAAGATTGAGTTTAGTTCGTGAAACAACATAAATAATGTTCAACTATTGTTTGAGTGATGCATGATATCCAGTTCTTGGAATATGTCTTCCATGCTGACAGATTGTGTAAGATGCTATTTGTATTTTTTTTTTAAATGACATTGTCACCTGATATAAGGCACACCAGCTGGTATATGGTACTTTGCTCCTGGGTCAAAGTCAGAAGAGGTGAGAGGTACCGGGGAAGATATTCCTTGATACCTACACCTGGATACAGGCACAAGAGGGCAGTAGGATATTATTAGGATATTATGCATTACTGTAAAATCATTGAAACTTAAAATTAACTCTACCGTAAAAGAATGAAATAGCGAAACGAGGTATGTGGAAGCTTGAAATAAAATGACAGGACAAAAAACAAGGACATTTCGGCATAAAGCCTTCCTCAGCCAACAATAGAAATGAAAATATAACAAAGAAAAGAGCACAGTAGACAACTTAAGCAGTATTCATTCGTGTCTCCGGAAGTGGGAAAACAGGAAGCGAGAGAATATAAATATTGACACTGTGAAAAATAGAGTCCACAATAATAATGGACCAGAATATCCAGGGATACATCAACAAACAGCAATAAGAAAATAGATGAAATATAAGGAAACAGAGAAACATCAGTAGGATATTATTTGATTAATACCATATGGAGATATGGTGCCAAACAGCTGAATAAATTTATTTTCCATTTTAACCCTATCTGGTGTGTTACTGCATGAAATCAGTGCCGTAATGGTCCGTAATGGTTACATCCAATGCACCTTTATGTTCTTTTTGGTTGAAATGAGAAGAGACCGGGGAAGGTTTACATTGCTCAATATCCCTTAGATGTTCAGTAAACCTATCAGCCAATCTTCTCCCAGTCTCCCCTATGTAACTAGATTGGCATCTACGGCAAACAATTGCATATATTACATTTCTGCTGACACAGGTGAAACCCTCTTTAATGATAAAGGTACCTTTAGGGAGGCCAATACTTTCAGTTTGGAGTGTAAAGGGACAAGTTCTGCAGCGGCCTCTTAAGCATGGTTTAGTACCAACGTAAGACGGTTCACATCGAAGGCGACTATGGCCCAGAAGATCACCTAGATTTCTGTCCCGTCTAAAGACAATCAGATAATCAAATAATATCCTACTGATCTTTCTCTGTTTCCCTATATTTCATCTATTTTCTTATTGCTGTTTGTTGATGTATCCCTGGATATTCTGGTCCATTATTATTGTGGACTCAATTTTTCACAGTGTCAATATTTATATTCTATCGCTTCCTGTTTTCCCACTTCCGGAGACACGAATGAATACTGCTTAAGTTGTCTACTGTGCTCTTTTCTTTGTTATATTTTCATTTTTATTGTTGGCTGAGGAAGGCTTTATGCCGAAACGTCCTTGTTTTTTGTCCTGTCATTTTATTTCAAGCTTCCACATACCTCGTTTCGCTATTTCATTTTTTTACTAAGCTTGAAAGCAGTCTTTTCATTTATAATTTCTACCGTAAAATACGTTTTCTTTCTCCCGTTTTATATTAAATATTTATTTGTTAAATGTGTAATAACATGCTAATAGTTTTACGTGATACCTGAGGTTCCACCATTCCTCATTGTACTTTTCAGGTGTGGTTTCACCTCTAAACACACTCCAGCGCCATTGATCGATCAGGTAACCAAAGGGAAGAAAAGCAATTTTCTGTAGGGCCATGCTCATCAGGAAATTGATGTCAGATTCTAGATATCGAAAAATGTCAAGAAGTTTTTTTTTTTTTTCTTTTTTACTGTAGTCGAAATTATTGTGAAGATTAAGTAAGTATTTTTGTAAGTAGCCAAGGGTCATTATTTTAGACTCCGAGGGCCAAAGGGCAAACCTGGTTAAATTGGGAAGCTTCTAACTTTTCCAAGTGACCATTTGGAGGGTCAAAATTAGTTAAGATGGGTAGTTTCTAATGATTCCAGGGGTCCATATAGAGGGTTAATCTTAATTAAGCTGATTAGCGTCTCATGTTTCCAGGGCTTCAATAAAGATGGGCAAACCTAGTTGAGTTTGATAGATTCTAATTATTTCATGCAGTCCATAAAGAGGATCAAATCAAGTTAAGTTGAGTAGCTTCTAATGATTCCAAATATTCCATAAAGAGGAGCAGACCTAGGTAAGTTGAGATGCTTCTCATGATTACAAGTTGTCCTCATAGAGGGTCCCAGCTAGTTAAGTTAGATATTTTTTAAAGTTTCCAGGGGCCTATCTATGTTGTCAATAGCAGGGGAAAAGTTAATGCGCATTTTCTTTCTTCTCACACTCAGAATACTGAAGTGGAATTGCGATGAACACCGCAAAAGTCACGAGACAACAGAAGTAGCAACACATCCATAGAAGCTATACATAGTGTTCAAACAGTTCTTACACATGTATAATGGTAGTGCGTTCCCATTTTTAGGATGTTCGAAAATTATTTAAAATGTGTAATCTCTTTATTACAAGTACGTTTGAAAACAGCGTGTACAGCAACCCTGCCATCAAAGAAAAGTTTTTTTAAAATATCAATTATCTCAGACTTACTTACCCGTGTCATTGCTAACAGTTGGAATGAGACCTATGGAGTGCATGTGCTCTGGGGTTTGCACTGAAAGAGAGATGACGTCACCGACAGCTTCATGAAATCCTATTTAAGAATTGAATCAAATATGAATTATTGTTGAGCTTGACAGTCGTACCCAGTAACCAATGGTAACAACAATCCTTAAAATTATGAACAATGCCGTCCAGTCACATTTAAAATAAACCCTTTCATGGCACACCAAAACACGCACACTTCAACACAAACACATGCAGACACTAACAAACGCACACATCAGCACACCCACACACGCTCACAGCCATAGCTAAATACAATTAAAGATTTGTTCAAGGGTGCTTCCAATTTTTTCTATCAAATTATGTATTTGTAGAAATAGTGTGAAATAACTGTAGATGTTATTATGCTACACAATAGTGGATGAATATTTTCTTTTCGCCGAACAGCTCTGTGACATCATTGGGGCCTTATATTTAATGAGAGATCCACCCCACGTTGTCATATCTTTTTCCAATCCTACAATGCAAACATTACGTCCGTATATTTTATTTGTTTACATGAAAAGTCAGTTATTAAGATTTCGGACTCAAAATCTAAATTAAGACCTCCATTTTTTTTACGATACATTAATGGAACGATCACATTTATAGATTTCCGACACAAATTTCACATCATTAAAATTTACATTACACACGTTGGCTCAAACAATATTGTCATTGTCTATGCATCATTTGATCCGTTATTTTAAAATTCGTTATTCTTTGAAGATGCAATGGATAACCATGTCGAGATTTGCAACATACAATAAGTAATTTCACTAGTAGAAATAAACATTAAACCTTTGTGTCTAATATTAAATGTGATGGCCTCAAGCAATGCGATTGGATGGAATTTTGTGAACAGGAACGTAAAGTCCACAAGGTGCTGCATGCTTTCATTTGTTTCGTACGAGCCTAATTTGTGCAGCTCGAGTTAGACATTTCTGTTTAAAACTTGGCTAAGAAGACTTCCTGATTTTTTTTTCAAGGAGGCAGCAAGCGCTCTTCCTAGGATATGAACCTGTTTTTGAGAACCCTAATGACATGCGCAGTGGGGTCATGAGAGCGTGTCGTCAGTGTGCCGTCATCAAGATGTGTCGTCGAATTGTGGTCGTCGAGAGGTCGTCAAGTTGTGGTCATCAAGATGTGTCATAAAAGTTAAAGTATGTCGTCCAAATGTAGACATCAATCTAATGAGGTCGATGTTTTGTTTGCTCTNGGGGGGGGGGGGGGGGGGGGTGGGGGGGGGGGGGCAGCAAAATAACTTACTGTTATTTATTTGAGTAATTTGAAGCTGAATTTCAACATAACATTTCAACAGAACAATCGAACATGGCGTTTAAATGTTACGATTATAATAAGTAAGTAGACCTATGCTGAGGTTAGTAGGGTGGGATTTGGAATGAGCCACCTCACTGAGCTCATCTTTAATCTGTCTTCTCATTAATTATGAGAGAACTTGACTTCCACTAAATAAAACTGGGATCCCATTGTGCAGTATATAGTTTTGTTTAAAAAAAAATGAAACCATGGTCTCCTAGGGAATGATAAAAAAATATTTAATATTTAATTGATCCAATTATAATTGAAGACAGGAAACAACTAACAAAACGTCTTTCAAATCTATGGCATGGTTTTGCCTGCATACGTAGATTGCGATGTGTCAAAACGAAACAATTACATTCCAAGCCTCTAAACGACTATGCATTGACATTAAAAAAAAAGTGCGTGAGTCTAGAAGTCTACATTCAAATCTAATGAATTGTGTGCAGGTCAAACCAGGATTGGCACCGTCCCTGAACTTGACTGGTTGATGGCTTGTTAGAATATAGTACACCACGTGACCCATCTCGTGATGAGCGACAACAATGTCGTGTTGAGTTATGTCCGTGCATTGCTTGATCCTGAAATCAGGGGGAAGGAGGTCTTTGTTAAAGAAATAGTTCTATGCATGCAAGTTCCTTTTGTTGATCAACCGTGAAGTAGTTTCATTGGACGTTCACTTGGGTCTGTCATCTGATCGACTTGTTCTCATCTAGCTGCATGCAGAGAGACTGTGGTCTATTTATATAAATATTTCTAAACAAGAGCACAAAGTAAAATTTTCAGACTCCATCAGATACAACATCTTAAAAATGTATCATCATTCAGACAGTGCCTTCCGGGTATCCTGGGCTCTATTAGATACACCATCTTCAAATATGTATTATCATTCAGACAGTGTGCCCTGGTATCATGAGCTCCATTAGATAAAAAAATATTCGAATTCATATCATGATATAGGTTAAAGGGAAATCAGATAATCGAATGTGTAAAATCTCTGTTGCTGGTTGACATAGTAAATTGACTATTTGTATGAACTGTAGTCACTTATATGTTCATTACATGTGTTGTATTAAAGCGGGCGTAATGTCTGAAGCGATTGGTCTAACTAAGATTAATTTAGTGAATATTTACGAACAATATACATATAAATAGTAGGGAGGTAAAAATAGATAAGACGCAATCAGAGGAAATGATGCAATGAAATTTGTTGTTAAGGCAGAACCCACCCCAAATTCAGAAGAATTAGAGTTAGTGTACCGGAAACAGCAGATAGTAAACAAATGTGAATGTACACAACACAATCCTCAAATTAGCTACGTCTCGTTCACTGCATTTTGAAATTCAAGGCTTAATGCACACTCCAACCTGACCCACTCATCTATGAAGTAAAGAGTTATATTGAATGTTATACAAACATGCACACACCAGGGTTGGCTCCATCTCTGAAGCTGACCGGCTGGTCTTTGTACTGCAGGAAGTATTCGATATGACCCATCTCATGGTGGGCTGTCTCCAGGTCCTCCGCTGTTATCACTGTGCACTGCTTGATTCTATATTTTTGAAAGACGGCAGACTTCACAAGTGTAAAGGGCAGACTTCACAAGTATAACGGAAGACTTCACAAGAATAACGGACGACTTCGCAAGTATGACGGCAAACTTCACAAGTATAATATTCTTTAAAATATTAATAAAAGTTCAGTTTTTACAAACTCGGACGTATACAGTTACATTTATACCATGGAAACGATTTCAGTGACAGTTAACCAAAGGACTGCCATTTTAAATGCAGTAATGCCCAGAACAATAATGACAAGTACAGTAATCCCAAAGTACAATTGCATCGGTTATTTCCAGTATCTTTATGTCATGCCAAGTAAAGTTGTTTCAATAATAATTCCCGAAAAAACCAGTCACTGCTTTTTTGTAGCGTAGATGTAAATTCATTCATTTTCATTTCACTTAGGAATACCCAAATGAATTCTGCTTGGTTACACATTAAATAATAAAACTGTTGTTTAGATTAAGTAACGACATTAGACAATGATAGTTGATGAGTCATAATGGTTAGTTTTAATCAAATATTAAAATACTATTAAAATTTAAACAAGAATTTAACAAATATCTTGAACATAGTGTAACCTTTAAAATGTTTAAATTGCATCCTTAAAATAATTAAACTTTTCTTTATTCTTAAAACTTAAATATAAATTATTCTAATTTTACCTGAAATCTCTCCCGTTATAAAAGTCCCAGGCTGATGCATGACACACAACTTCTCGGCCATCTTGAGGTTTCTCCAAAAGGGATTTGTCCCAGAATGTGTCTGGCATTGGTATCATTCCGAGAGACTTGAAGAAATCGTCTGCTGTCTGAAATATCCTTATTGCCGTGTAGTTCTGTGAAAAAAAAGACAAAAAAATATGTAAAACTAAATTTTTTCTTCCCGATCAACATTAACCACAACCTTCTCTGCTTTAAGAATATTATAAGAGAACATATAAGAAAAAACTTAAAAAATAGTTATTCCTGCTGTTGTTTTCTAGACAACATTAAATGAGACATAATAGAATGACATGATTATAATAAATGTCTCACCTGTCTAACCATTTCATCCGTGACGTCAAGAGTAGGTTTACCTTTGTAAGGGGTCAATTCATCGATGAGTGAACTCCACTGCTGAGCCCACATGTTTCCTGATAACAAGAAGTATTGTCCGAGTGAATGACATAAAGTGGCTAATTTCATTAATACAATTTGATATGTTTTTACGTTTTATATCAAAGCTAAAACAGTTTCTCGATTATTTGAACACGATGACGTCTAAAAGTATTATTTGCACATATGTCAACTGGCGCCCCCATAAGATGGTCCAGATGTGGGAGGTATGAAGAAGAAAGGTCTTAAAGTCAACGCACCCCCTCTCCAATGCTCCTATTATTTCAGGAGTCGATCCCTCTCCGTGAGATTTACTCTCTATCCTAGCCCTTCTTCTTGTATCAACAAATAATTAAATTAACAATTATATTTGACAATTAGCATAAATCTCTCTTCCGGCTACGAAAACTTCCCCGACTAAAAAAGGGGATTTAATCAAAACTTCTAGAGAAGAAATTATAGAAATTCCGTCCCCTGATAGCGTTCTTGGTAACAAATAAAACGTATTGGAACGTCCAAAAAAAACCTTTTCACAATCCAGGGAGAGAAGGGGAGAAGAAGTGGCACGGAAGATTATCTGTGACGTCAATATCAAAACAAAAAGGGGAGACAGGTGGTGTTTGCCGCAACGTTAAAATTACACATACACATATGCCATACCAGGGCATTCATATGTTCTTCCTTATATCAGCTCCGGAGTTTCAAAGTATGAACTGTTGGTAACTTTGGTAACTTTGTGTATCTTCGTCTTGCCATAAATATTTGACAGAAGCAACACAACTGCTTTGTACAAAAAGTCTAAAATTAATAATTTCATCTAGAAGACGTAACCAGAAGTTGAATAAACTGATAAAGTGATCATGTATATCACTTACCTAGAAGATGGGCTGGGATGTGACCAGAAGATGGAAACTTGTCATTCCCGTAGATTTGTTTGAGTTTTCTCCTGGCGTAGGCATGGAGCTGTTCATACAATGGACGGAGCTGGTCAAACAATGCTCTGACGTCATCCTCAAAGGTCGGTGTGTCGTACCAAGATCGCCAGTAGGCACCAGTGTCCGCGTGACCTTTTTAAAATAAAATACAATTTCATAAATTTCAAAATGTATGAGAAAATACACATTTTGCCACACCATTCCCCATGCAAAATAGTGAGATTAATTTTTGTAAATGATAATTTAGTTGAACATATATTTTTGGTAGTTAATTTATTATAGTGTTAACATGTCCTCCGCGTTAACTAGATGAACCAGTTAAATTTTACCAACTCATTGTATTGTTTCGGTAAATCATCTTAAACAAGCATTTCATGTGATGAAATGGCATGTTAAATTGATCTTGTTGAAAGCAGCACAGTAAAAATGTATGCCTATCTTCCATGTAATATATATATATATATATATATAATGAGTAATGCTGACCGTAACGCCAAAGAAACGAACATAATTTAATTAAATACGTTTGGATTCTTAAAAACAATCACAGTTATGTTCGATTATTTTACGGAAATCGAATCAATTTAAATGCGCAAAATATATTATAATTCCGCTTTTAGTTTAGAAAAAAAAATAATTATTATTATGTACTACAAATACATTTAAAGTATCAACTAAGGATATTTTAAAGTATTTCATGTGTTAAAAAGTTATGAAAAAATATTTTTTTTAAATTTTAAAATAAAAACATTATGATCAACGAATTACACCATAATCACATTCATTGCGGAAAACCCAAACATCAGATGCTTTTAGTGCGTTGTTAATATTGCGAAATAAAATTAAAATTAATGTGTTCTTAATAATCACATAAATTACGTGGTAGCGCGAAATGCCTATTTAGCCAAAACTAAAACATGTCCAATTTAACAACCGCGCGTAAAAATATTAATAAAGCATTTCCCCCCTCTTAAAAGTAAAATTAATAAATATAACTGATTGCTTTTTAAAATGCTAAAATTTTCTAAAAATTTATACAAATTTAGCTTTGTATTTTTAGCATTTAATGAGTTTTTGCTTTTGATTCATTCCAAATATGTACTTTTATGAAAGGTATAAATTAGTAAAAACTTTACGGTTAAAATATACTTTTAAAAAGAAAATGCCGTTTAATTTAATCAGCATAGCGAAACTACATAGCCAAATAACACTCACTAAAGAAGTTATAACTCATCCAAGTAAATGCAAAGCACATAAAATGCAAAAAAAAAATTAGTTTGTGTATGAATAAGGGGATTACATCCCGGTGGGGGATTTTTTTGAATTTAAAAACAATCTTTGTGGTTGGGAAAAGGGGGGGAGGGGGGGAGGGAGTCGTTTAGTAATACAATATTTTCATTTTGCACAAGGCAATAAATATAATTTCAAAAAGCGCTATTGCATGGGTGGATTGAATTTAATCTAATCAACATAGAGACATTTCAGTTTGTACGTGGACTTAGTGTTTTAAATTTATTTTTATGTTTGCTATAAAGGCCTAAAAATATTTTCAAACAGAACTACTGCATGGACGGATCAAGGGCTACAAGTTGGTGAACAAAATTTTCAAAATCCATGCTTCTCACGAATTTTGCCTGCTCATGTGTCAATTTGTGTACGCACCAAACGGAAAAAAAAAATGTTTTCTTTAAAAGAAAAAAAATCAAAAACGTTATTAAAGCACAAACAATGTTATCTTTGAGTGGCGTTGCGCAGCGTGCCGGTTTCTCGCTAGTGTTTATATGTGTTCAAATAAATGATATTTCAACGGTCCCACAATTTAAAAGCTAACTATGCATAAACAAATAAATTATTATTTAATTGTCCAAAAATTTGAAAACTCACCAAGTATTTTCACAGCTTCGTTGTTATATTCCACATATTCGGCATACAAGTTTTTCATCTTGCCGCCAGATTCAGCTCTCCACCCTAACCACGCGGCCAGAAGTTCATCGTAGTTCCGTGACGTAGCCATAAGTTGAGTGAGATCTGATAGAACATTGATTTGTTTAAATAATCCTTAAAGGGAAAATTGATTTTTAAAAATAACACTGACCGACATAAATTTGTATCCTCAATACTAGACTTGTTTCTAGGTATATTCACCCATTTGATTTTTAAAAGCTAGAGTTTTTGAGATGTTGAACATTTATCATTTCAATCATAAAAAAATAGAAATAATTATCTAATTTAAAGAAAAATGTGCTGAGTGAAAATGCGTTTATCGTATACTTAAACAAACCCTTTCAAAAAGAGTTTCTCGTATAAATCATGTATATGCATTTGAAAAACACTTTAATGATACATTAAAATTCTAATATTTTACCACATTTTACACCGCGGATTTATTACACAAATTTCACAAAAACAAAGGAAAACATTTTACACCCAAACACAGTTGCGATATATTTTTAAACGATTCTCTTTTAGCGTAATTATCGGGATATTTATTTTGTGATTTCTGTGTCATCATATTTCCTCCAACTTCCCCATTGAAAAAAACAGGATAATTTTTTTTTTTGGTGGGGTGGGGTGGGGGGGGGCTGCAAGTTTGATGCAATGTTTAGTCGTCGTCAACAAGTCTATGTCATTTTCAGCTTGGCGGGATTTTGGTCAATTAGCCGTCCGAAGATTTTGCCACGCAGCCAGAAACACGGAAAAAAAGCGAAGTCAATATCATAGTTTCTATCTTCTTATAATCCTTTCACTCTATTTTGCTTCCTTAATTATCTCACCTGGATCTAGAGGTAACCGTTGACCAGAAGGCATAGTGACCTTAGCAGTGCTATAAATAGTCTCCATATCACTCTGGACCTTGTTTAGCTGAGATGAAAATAAGATCATAATAAAATTTAAAATCATATTCCTCGAATTTAACCCTCTTTAATTGATGAAAGGGCTCTTTAATTCATGAAATACCTAGTTAATTGACGACGAAAATTCCCTTTAACTGAAGAAAGACCTATTTCAATGATGAAGTAAGAAACTTCTTAATTGATGAAATACCTCTTTAATTGATGAAATACCTCTTTAATTGATGAAATACCTCTTTAATTGATGAAATACCTCTTTAATTGTTGAAATGCGTGTTTATTTGATGAAAAACAAATTATTCAATGAAATACCTAATTAATTCATGAAATACTTCTTTAATTCTCCCTGCGTGCAAGTAAAGGGACCTGATATAGAAGTAGATTAAGTGACTGCAAACCACGCACGTGGTACGAGGTGACTTATAGCATCGTATTATCATGCTGTGCATTGGGCTAGCAACCCAGTCCTTGACTTATTGTATCAGGTTTTGAAGTGAGCTCATCATCATCATCATCGAGTCCCTTAGTCCTTGGAACGTTGGGGCTCCACAGATGACATTTGAACTATCCTCCACCATTCGTCTCTGTCTTCTGAAGTACGCACAGCATCGCTCAGTGTTAGTCCTGTCCACTCTTTGATGTTATCCTCCCATCTTTTTCTTGGTCTTCCTCTTCTTCTCCCTCCTCTTATGGTGCCCTACAATATTTCTTTGGCAAGCCCTTGTTTCCTTGTTACGTGGCCGTACCATTGTAGTTTGCGTTTTTTCACTGTCACCAGTAGGTCATCGTACTCCCCAATTGCCTGACCAACCTTTTCTTTCACTGTATCATTGGAGATATGGTCCCTTAGGCAGATCCAAAAATGCTTCTGAAGCATCTCATCTCCATCGACTTTATTTTCTTTTCAAGATCGGCTATTAATGTCCAGGATTCGCAGGCATACAGGAACATGGAGAGGACTAATGAGCGCATTAGCCTGATTTTGGTGCTGGGGGCTATATTTTTGTCATTCCATATTTTCTTGAGCCTCTTTAGTGCTGTTGTAGTCTGCGCAATCCTAAACATCAGTTCGGGCTCGGAGCCTTCTTCTGAGACTATTGCTCCTAGGTATTTGAAGCGGCCTACAGTCTCTAGTCTTTTCTCCCCGACCTTAATTTCAGTGGTGATACCTGAAGTGTTATTTGTCATCAGTGTTGTCTTTTCGGCACTAATTAGCATGCCGTAGGACGACGAGGTCTTATCGAGACTATTTACCAGGTTGGTTAGCTTTTCTTCGTTCCCAGCCAGTCCATCTTTGTCGTCAGCAAAGCGTAGGTTGGTGATTGTTCTGCCACCAGTGCTGACTGTCCCTTCATGCACTTCCAGAGCATCTGACATAATTCTTTCTAGGAAGATGTTGAACAGGGTGGGGGAGAGCAGGCAGCCATGTCGTACTCCAACCATGGCCTTGAACCATTCTCCAATGTTGTTGTTGAGGAAGACTGCACTAGTGGCCTTATCATAGAGGTTGCATATCATTCTGTTTAGTTTCTTGTTGATATTGTAGTGCCTCATGGTGGCCCATAAAGCAGCATGCCAAACCCTGTCAAATGCTTTCTTGAAGTCCACAAAGGTGTGGTATAGCTTTTGTTGGTGTTGAGCATATTTCTCATATAGTATTCGGAGGTTTAGAATCTGCTCAGTAGTGCCCCGTCCTTGTCTAAAGATCACCTGTTCTTCAGCAATGATTATGTCGGCATATGCTTTTAGTTGGTTCAATATGACCTTCAGCATGACCTTGCTTGGATGGCCTATGAGGCAAATGGTGCGATAGTTTTGGCAGTGAGCTAGCAACCCATTTATTGTACTGTGCTAGCAACCCATTATTGCATTGGGCCAGCAACCCATTCATTGTAATAAACTCAGCTAGCGCTACGAAAACATCCAAAACCAACAAACGGTTGGCGAGATTTTTTAAAACCAGTGTACAAATAATCGCTTGGTAATAAGAGGAAGCATGTTTTCTCAAAATAAGATCCAATAGAGACCCAATAAAAGGCTGAGAACCTCACCGCAAGTTGTTAGAGCTTGTAGAGAGGCAGTCGTTTCTTTTGACAATAACTTGGTGATAGCGAAAGTAATGCTAAACCTAAGGGGACAAAACACCATCTGAAGAAAAAGACAGCGCCATATCACCAATATCCTAGATCAAGGAAAGAAACATTAGTTTGGAATAACTCTATCAAATAGATTTGAGGCTTTGCAACAGCTCCAGAATATAAATGGAGACAGAAGGTCGTAGGCAACATATTAGCCTGATTTGGACAAGCAGATACGAAGAAGTGTTAGGGAAGAAAGAATATCAACATAAAGAGTAGTTCTCAAAAGAAACAATAGACAAAATTAAAGACGCACATTTATTTAGAGAGCGAAACAAGAGCAGCAAATATGTCTACTTTTGATACCTGGACAAATGCCAATACAGACACTAAAAGATTTCAGGAAAGATAAAAAGACATTCATTGATGACATTGCCAAGAAGACTAAAGAGGCTGCATCAAATGGTAACCTAAATTACCTGTACAATGCAACAAAGATGAACGTTTCATCAAAAAAGAAATCCAATCAAAGACGAATTGGGAAAAACTTACCAACAAAGTATAACAACAGAAAAAATGGGAAGAATATTTCAAACAACTAATAAACAGGCCAGACCCACGAGAATGAAATCAAATTCTCCCTGCAAAAGAGGATCTCCTTGTTATTTGCGATGGACCCAACGGAACAGAAATTAAAACTGTGATCAAACTTTTTGACAATTGGAAAGGCTGTGAGCCCTGATGAAATAACTGCAGAAGTTCTAAAGATTGACCTGGAACTGTCATCAGGCAAATTTCACCAGCTAATTGTGACTATCTGGGACAAGAAGAGATACCCATGGAGTGAAGGGAAGGATACTTTGTCAAACTTCTAAACAAAAGAGATCTCCAAGAGTGTGGAAACTATAGAGGAATAATGCTGCTTTCTGTACCAGGAAAAATACTAAATAGAATTATTCTGCAGAGAATAAAAGCAGCCATAGCCTCCAAACTAAGAGGTGAAAAGACTGGTTTAGGAGAAAACATATCATGTATTGACCACATTCCAAACCTACACATAATCATGGAACAGTGATTCGAGTGGAATGCATCATTGTACCTAAACTTTGTCGACTTCAAAAATATTTGATAGCTTAGACAGAGACAAACTATAGAAACCTCTAGGACATTCTAATATTCCTCAAAAGCTAACAAGCTTAATTAAAAACACATACAAAGATGTGAATTGCAGGGCTTTTTCACGAAGGTGAAATCACCAACCAATATATAATAGAATCTTAAGTACGACAGAGATGCCTGCTCGCATTATTCCTCTTTTTGTGATCTATCGACTGAATCACGAGAGACAACACGGGATGGGAAAAATCGAATCCAGTGGACACATTTCAGACAGCTGTAGGAGTGTAATTTTTGCATATGACATTGCGCTTTAAGTACATAGCCATAAATAAATGCAGGAGAAAACAACAAAACTTGACTCTGTTTCCAAACTACTTGTACAGCATAAATAAAGAGAAAACCAAACCTTAAGAACAAATGCAGCAGATGATGGGGGTCATTGGGATTAACTTGAGAGAAGCGTCTCTTGAAGAAGTTAAAACTTTTACATACCTTGGAATCATTATTGGGGGCACAGGCGAGAACTTAAAGTCTAGGGTCAAAAAGGTCAGAGGAGCATTCAATGCCCTCGAAAATATCTGGAACTCTAGTGAAATACTGACAAATGCAAAGTTAAATATATTCAATTAAAATTTCATGGAACTTTGCTGTATGTCTGTTAAACTTGGACAACAACAAAAACAAAAATTAAAAACAGTCGGTTCTTATCCTCAAATGCTTGCGAAGGATCCTCAAAATAAAAAGGGTTAAAAAAATTGTAACCCAGTCGTTTGGAAGAGAACATAAAGTGTTCAAGTGTAAACGGCGATATGAAAGAGAAAATGGAGATGGATAGGAAACACATTATGGAAACCACACACTAACATCACAAGACAGGTTTCTGAATTGAAATCCCATAGGTACCAAGAAAAGAGGAAGACCAAGAAACACATAGAAGAGCGGATTAGTGACTGAGGTGGTGAGAATGCTGAAACTCTTATTATTGATGGCTTATGCTCCATTGCGAGTGAGAAAGGCTAAAAAGAAGAAGACCTCTTTAATTCCTCTCAAGTTTAGAAGAATTTTAATAAAGCTTAGTATCTGAAGTAGAGATTTTTTTTAAATTTCTAAAACATATTTTGTTAGCATTATTCGTCAACAATCGAGTCAGGCTTCAGATCTAGATACTGTGTTTTAGGGGAAAGAGAAGAGAGATAGAGATGACGATGCACAGTTATGGAAGGGGGTGGGGGGTGTTAGTGCAGGGATGACCAACTCTTACGTCTTTACGGGGCACATTTTGAGAGAGGGTCAAACGTTGACGGGTCACATGTCATTACACCATGTGACGTACAGATTACGTCATTTTGAAGGATGCAGACGATGTCGGAAAGAAATGTCACCTTCAGACTCGACACGAGTTATAAACTAGAATACAAGTTATCATTATAAACAAGGCTTTTAACATTTTCTCACATAGGCCAGTTTGGTTTCATTGGTTTGTGCAGCTGTTCCAATGTCCATGATCTTAATAAAAAGTCTCCTGTCCTCTTGGGTCATCACGGTCAGGTTAAACCTTGTAGCATTTCTATAGGCTTCCTGGGAGAACTTGGCGGACATAAGCTGTTCGTCCAGCTGAGAAATACAAATTACAGATCAAGGTATTAAATCAATCTTATAATTAAAATATTTCACAAGAGAATTAGAAAACCCCATGCGGTGTACTTTCAGTATATACATTTATTTTCTGCCATTTTCCAAATTTTGTTAGAAATATCTTTTTAATAATTCGATCGGAACTGCACAAATACTCATAAAAAGAAACGTTATTTTTCATAAAATAAATGTTAAATAAATTTTTTGCTTCTGATGTGGCTGCTTCCATCCCTCAACTCGCCCTCCCCAAACTCAATACCTTTTATATTAATAGTACTGAGTGAAAAAAATTAATTAAAAAAAAAATATCAAGGAGCTAGGGTCATGCGATACGGTTGTTGATATCATCGGGGATGATATTATATTAATGAAAAAAACAGTGTAGGACTCTGTATGACTATTGTTTAAAGGCCGGCATATATTATAGAAAAGTTAACTCTTTTTTTTTTTTTTTTTTTTTTTTTTTAACGCTTGGAACACTTTATAACACCATTTTTGGTTTTAAAAACGCTTTTAAAAAAAAAAATTAAATTTTTTTTTTTTTTTTTTTTTTTTTTGTAACGCTTGGAACACTTGATAACACCATCTTAGGGTTTAAGAACGCTTTTAGAAGAAGAAAATTTGTAAATATTCTGAAAATATAAAATTGCTTTAAAATGTTCTCACTTAGCGTGTGTTCCAGATTTACGACGTAAATTTTTATGATGAAAATGATGACATCGAATGACATTTGAATTAAGATTTAATAGACTATAACAAATGTTTGCTAGATGTACTTGATATGATGAGCTTTTATAACTAAATTTTTTTTAGACTTACCATGAGCTTCTGGTTGTAGTCTGTAATGTTCGTGTAATATGTCCAAGAAACTTCCGATTGTTTGTAGAAGACAGCCTGTGCCTGGCTGTTAAAATTGTCCAGAAATGACTGGATCTCTGTAGGATCACTAATACTCTGACCTTTGACCCCAAAGAGAGTAGAGACGGCCACTGCCAGGTAAAAAAGGGTCGTCTGGAACATTCTCGAATGTCCCTGAAACTGAAGTGAGAAAATATTCAAAAGAAACATTTTAAATGCCTGTTTAATGCTGTGTATAGCACCGTAAATTCGTTGACAGATAATGGCTACTTCCCTTTTACAAATATTAACATCCATCCACCCATCCATCCATTTATCCATCCATCCATTTATCCATCCATCCATTTATCAATCCATCTATATGTCTGTCAGTCAATCATTCTGGCTGACGTCGGTCTTTCCTACCTCATAATTCAAACTATGCAAAAATAATATTTAAAAAATCAAGATAAACATGGAAGCGAGCAAGACCTGTCGAGACATGTGTTCAGCTGCCAGAAAGCAAAAAAAAAAACAACTACGAAATACTTACAGACGTAAAGCAATCAAGGGCTAATTCAAAATCCTAATAATATTAAATAGAAAGGTGAATCTCTTTTTGTGTTTTATTCTTTAAGCTTTTACACCAACAAAATGGACCAGCCATGCAATAATGGAATCAACCCCTGCTTGATTCTTGGAATGTTAAAAGGGTAGCATAATCATGAACATTTTGGGACTTATTGGATTTTTGTGTGTCTTTTGAAAACAAACAATTTTAAACGATTACAATAGTGTTGTGAGCATTTTTGTGCACATTTTCTTCTCGTACTTCTAATTGGGTGCCTACCCTGGTGGCTGAAAGGGGAATGCCCCCAGTCCCCCCTCCCCATGTATGGAGGTTACCGCAAAAATGAAATGACCAGGATGGACCACGTCAGCAACTGTCGTCACTACACGGTTGCCATAATCTAGGGACCTAAGTCACCTGACCCGGAAACAAAGACGCAACCCCGAGAGAAGTAAGGGGCACCTTCCATCGCCGTGACCCCACCACAGGTTGTAAGCAGGGGTAAACACACATTGACATAAAAATTAAACGTAAGCTAAACTGCGCAAAGGCATGATTTGTGGATCGCGACCTGGACTATAACGAGAATGCATAGGATAGGAGCACTGGCCCGCCTCAGTGACGATGAAGGACAAAAGCTGTTTACAGATAAAAACCAACATGCACATGGCTCTTCAGGGTAGACCAGATGGTCCTTCAGGGTAGACCAGATAGCCCTTCAGTAGACCGAGAAAGACAATGATTGATGACGTATAGTCCTATCTACTATCAGCTGGGGCTCCGTGCATAAAGATGACAAACCATACATCCCTGTGAATTGGAGAATATTATTAACCAAGTCAGAGCCATTAATGGGCTCTAGTACTGTAGCCACAAGTATCAGATTATTAAATCCAATTAGTATAAGAAAATTCCAAGAAAATGTCCGATTCTATAAATAGTTTATTTGATCAATCTGTGGGGAAGCTATAAGATACACTGGTGCAGTATTAAACAGAAATTCGTCCATTTCTTATGACAGGGAGTTCCGGCCCAAAACAGCAAGAATACAGTTCGGGAACTGCTCATTCCTGCCAATCAAGACAATCAGGAGACTAGAACAAGCTTTTAATTAAAGGATTTTTTTGAGGGATGCTGACAGATTATTTTGCAATAGTATAGATAATTTGTAAATAGTGTAGATTATTTTTTTAATTGTACGGATTATACTCCAAAAGTATTTTAACGGTTCATAATAAGTAATAAACATTAATCTAAAAATTTTAAGGTTTAAGCACTTTGTAAAATGTGGTACTTTATAAATCACGGTACAATGTGCCCACAAGTTTATACATATAATACATGGTGTGTGTGTGTGTAGTTTTTTTTTTAAATTTGTTTGTGTGGGTAAGGGGGGCGCTGGGACTTCATCGGCTGTGTGGCGATGAAGGTGTTTATCTATTTCTAACGGGACTCTGGCCTGACAATTCGTAAACACTGTCGACTGTAGATCAGGGGGTCTCAAACTCGCGACCCATGGGACATTTGAGGCCCGCCAGACGAAATATTGTGTCCCGATACCTGAAAGCAAACAGTAGTGTTAATGCGGCCCACGCATTTCCCCCAGTCTCAATTCTATAACGTGACACTCCGCGAAGGTTTCAGTCAATCTTACGGACTAGTCTAATTCTAATTCAGAAATCTGACACAGTATCAAGAATCCCTATAAAAATTGCCACTCGTGTGTATAAGACATGAGTGAGGGAAATTCCGAATCTGCCAGCCTGGTCACTTTCAAAATAGGGATAGTCAATTAAAAAATTACAATTCATTCTCTCTACAATGGCATCTTCATTCGCATCAATAGTTCATAAATATTGCCTGCTGCTGCCTTCTGTTCGAATACATAAATATTGCTTGGTCCTGCCTTCTGTTTGAACACATATATATTGCATGCTGCTGCCTTCTGTTCGAACTCATAAATATTGCATGCTCCTGCCTTCTCTTTGAACACATAAATATTGCATGCTCCTGCCTTCTCTTTGAACACATAAATATTACATGCTCCTGCCTTCTCTTTGAACACATAAATATTACATGCTCCTGGCTTCTGTTTGAACACATACATATTACATGCTCCTGCCTTCTGTTTGAACACATAAATATTGCATGCTCCTGCCTTATGTTCGAACACATTTTAGTTCTAAAATTGCTAGTGGGAATCCCCATCATTGTTATTTTTATTTTATGTTTTTTCATCTTTGTTTATCAGAGCCTCATTATTCTCATCGCATTTCTTAGATGAATAATTTTACTTTAGATCACCGGGAATTTCATTTTCTTGCTAACGATATAATATCGTTAACAATAATACGCAATGTGACGTCCAGGTCGACTTGTGGATTATAGGGGTGACGCGATGCTCAATATTCGAGTTTTAATGTCTTGCTGGCCTAATTTTTGGAACAAGTATTACACAGATTTGTTATTGCCTTAACCAAAATTCATGTCGATTTCTTTGATGAAACAAAAACTGTAGAAAAAATATTTGTTGATTAAATATCAGCCGAATGGACAGAGTTACCAACCATCTTTTCAACATTAGCGGGGGACTGACTAGCTTTGGTGACATGGGATAGAAACCATCGTGGAGGGTCACATATTACTTTTTTTTTTAAACAATCGGGCACTATATACTTCATACGTTAGAGATTACGCAATAATTTGGCTAAGTTCATAGAGGTGAATAAAAAAAAATGTCTAGCGTGGACAATATATGAGAGAGTTGCCCTGCACCTTCCCTGAGATTTACAAGTTGCTCAGACGGATCATGTGCCTTTTTGGGAGTACCTATCTGTGTGAAAAGCTCTTTTCCACTAAGAACTTTAACAAGTCAAAATTTAGAACCAAACTTACTGATGAGCGTCTTCAAGCTATACTGAGGGTCTCAGTTGCTTCCTCACTCAAGCCAAATGTTACTCAGCTGTGTAAGAAGAAGCGCTGCCAGGTCCCTGGCAAAAAGGATTGAGAAGAATTAAGTGAAACCTAGTTCTTGAGAACTATTAATATTTTTATTTTTGTTAATCTTAAAGGTTGACCAGATTGTAAAAGTTGTTCTTTATTGAATTTGAAATCGCTTTTTTTGCTGGAATACTTGATGCGGCCCAGCCTCACTAACAGACTGTACCTCATGTGGGCCCCGGATGATTTCATTTTGAGACCCGCTGTAGACCATACTACTTGGGGACCGTTTCAGAGAGCACCTCTATAACATAAATAAACACGCTCTCTGTCCGGTCTCCAAACATTTCAATAGCCCTAACCATGATGGTATCTCAGACATTGCAGTTACTGGTATACTCTATACTAGTAACACTGCAGATAGAATCTATATGGAGAACAAATTAATAACTAGATTTGGTNTTGTTTTTACAATTATGTTAAAATCATTTCCTTTCTACTCCTCTTAACTTTGTTTTTGTCTGGTTTTAGCGCCCTCTCCTATATTTTTTCTGTTTTAGGTAGGATATATATATATATATATATATATATATATTGATATTACGTAAATTTAATTTATACTTACTTAAATGTGTTTTGTTTGTTTGTACTGATGAAGGCATGTGCCGAAACGTTCAATTGTGTATAATTATTATTAAAGCGTAACTTATATTGTTCTATTGACACAATTTGTTCGTGTCTTATTAATCTACTGCTAGAATTACAGACCAAATGTTCTAAATGTCAAAGTCAAAATACCAATGACTAAAGACCCCAAAGTCTCTATACATACATTTCATCAACATGTTTCACTGGCAAAGAATACTTTCAGTTGGTTAACATTCATGAATAAATAAGGGGTAATAACATTGGGTGTTTGGTTTCAAAATGGCGTTCTCCAAACTAATATCATGCACCGCTTGTCACCGATTCTATTACTTTCAGTTTGGTGGGGGAAAAAAAAGGGGGGGGGGGTCACTGTAGCCATTAGTGTGATCGTGTCTACGCGTACCTGGGTGCCAAAGTACTACTGCATGTAAACAGGTGCACAGGTGCGTATCATGTCCGGATAGGTTTAGTTGCAGATTTGCTTTATTCACATTGAATTGATATGTGAGATTATTTGGAATATTACCTGTATATGTGATTCCAGTGTTGCTTCACTTAACTTGACTTTCCTTACAGATTGATAAAGAAAGGATGATAATTATCGTAATTATTTTGTCAAAGTATCACTGCTCCACTAAGAAAACAACTACAGCTGACCCCAATATTAAAGTTAACCTGAACGCGTCTGCCTATAAAACATAGTGGTTCTCAACCTTCCTAGTGTCACGACAATTTAATACAGTTCCTCGTGTTGTGGCGACACCCCAGCAACAAAATTATTATGTTTGCTACTTCATAACAGTAGAGTATATGTGTTTTCGGATGGTCTTAGGCGACCCCTGTAAAAGGGTCGTGTGACCCCAAGGGTTCACGACCCACAGGTTGAGAACCGTTGCACTAGATTTTCTCACGGGCCTATGTTAGCTTGAGAACCCCTGTTCGAGCAACATGACCACTAGAGTTCAAGTGTTGGTTCATTTATGCACGATAACGTCTCGATCTCAACCACTTCCGTTCCGCTGCCCCCATGTCATTAATTAACACACCACAACTTGCTAGCTGACACGCTTACGACACATTGATACGACACAGTGAGACGACACAGCTAGATAAATATTCATTTACAAAAAACATAAATTATTTTCAAAACCTGATAATACAAACACCTTCTCAATGTTTAGACACTATGCCAATATTGATAACGAGGGGTAGCTAGGAAAAATATGGGAAGTTTTAGCTAGGTTAGGACTTCAGCCATACTGCACTCAGCCTCTTACTATTTCACTCTCTTATTTTTACTCTATTACTCTTACTCTCATTCGCAATTCCCTTCTAACTCTCTAACTCTTACTCGCACACATTTGTCCCCTGTTACTATCCCACTCTTACTATCCCACTCTTACTATCCCACTCTTACTATCCCACTCTTACTATCCCTCTCTTACTATTCCACTCTTACTATCCAACTCTTACTATCCCGCTATTACTATCTCTCTCTTACTATCCCACTCTTAATATCCCACTCTTACTACCCCACTCTTACTATCACACTCTTACTATCCCACTCTTACTATCCCACTCTTACTATCACACTCTTACTATTCCACTCTTACTATCCCACTATTACTATCTCTCTCTTACTATCCAACTCTTACTATCCCACTCTTACTATCCCACTCTTACTATCTGTCTCTTAGTCTATAACTCTTACCTTCTCACTCTTACTCTCTCATTCTTACTCACCCATTTTTACTCTCAAACTCTTACTCTCACATTCACTATCTTACTCTCTCTCTCTCTCTCTCTTTCTCTCTTACTATGTCACTTTACTCTCTTACAATTACTCTTTTGATCTTACACTCTGACTCTTACTTTCTCATTCTTACTCTCTCTCTCTCTCTCTCTCTCTCTCTCTCTCTCTCTTTCTCTCTGATACTGCCTCACTCTTATTTTCACACTCAATCTATCTCTTATTTCATTCCCTCCTCCAAAATATTTCTATTTAAAATAATAAATTCACCAACTATTAATTATAGAAGTCTTCAAAATATTTTTGAAATCAACTACAACTTCACTTTCATTTTTCCCAATCAATTTGGGCCAATCGGATTGAAGTGCTTAGTGTCAGCTGTGAAGAACGCGGACAACTTGAAAGTAAATATAACTTGAACTGAGAGCCACCCTTTAGACGTTGTACAACTATGTCTGTCACTAAATGTATTGTATTTCAACCATCGGGAAATGCTTTCATCAAAATATAAGAAGATGTCACGTTCAGGGTTCGCAATTGCTTTATATTTGATTAGAAGAGTCATGTTTGTTGATTCGGAAACCTGAAATCTGTAGGCTGTGTCATCCCACAATCATGGGCCAATACCCAGAAACACCTCCACCTTCCCTTCCCCCCCTCCCCCCCAAACCCCCGGAAAAAAAAGAAGAATTGTTCAGCAGTTTGCATTTCAGAGAAACACAGAAAAGGTTGAATGGACATGACTTAAGGGCAAATATTTGGGATGGTGAAGCAAATGTATTCATCCTAACAGCTAGCTTCGGGGCCAGCCGAGTCTTTCTTTAGTGTCGGTCTAGTCCGCCTTAACTGATTGAATGGGAACGGAATGGGGGTCATCTGTGTGAATGATGCTTTTATTTGTTGTTCACTACTGCTGTCAAGTCTGTCTGTACTATGGCAAGTCTGTCTCTACTATGGCAAGTCTGTCTGTACTATGGCAAGTCTGTCTGTACTATGGCAAGTCTGTCTGTACTATGGCAAGTCTGTCCGTAGGCCTACTATTACAAGTCTGCCCGTACTATGGCAAGTCTGTCTGTACTAAAATGGGAATGATGTTTTGCTTATACCTGGAAAATGGGAAAGATGTTTTGCTTATCTCAAGAAAATGGAAATGATGTTTAGCTTATATAAGAATGATGTTATCCTCTTCCCGGTATTTAATTAATAAATATATATAAAATAAATTGAATTAAATTAAAAAAGAGTTGAATTTTTTAGTTGTTTAATTGGTATTGTCTAGTAATGCATTGCTCATATGCTATCATTTGCTTTATTTGCCATTGCCTATTCCTAGTAATGGATGACTAGCTAAAAATATGTTAAACTAAAGTCGGATATAATCGAACATAGAGGAAAAAAAAAACTCAACCCATTATGAGTTTTGAGTTCTTCACCCAATATATAGGTCACTAATTCTAGTTTCCAATCCGTCACTAAAAATGTACAACTTGTAACAAGCAAACATTTCTAACAACTTTGAAGATGGCGTTCGTATAAAAAGTGCAATTTTAATACTATATATATATATATATATATATATATATATATTGTATGTGTCTTACTTAGAGACCGACCGAATTTCGGCTTCGGTTTCTGCGCCAAAATTGGTCATTTGATTACTTTTGGCCTAATTTCGGTTTAGACCAAAACTGAAAAGTTAACTTTCGGCTTAATTTCGGTTTCGGCCGAAAGAGAAGTTACCTTTCGGTTTAATTTCGGTTTCGGCCGAAATTGCCTAAGGGCCGAAAGTGACTGAAGTTTTCGGTCATCTACCAGAAGTTAGACTGCCTGTCTGTCTCTTGGCCGACAATGTGATATTCATTAGTGCTCGACGTCTTGCTGTTATTGTATGTTAAATGACTAATACTCAGCACCTACTTGTCCTATATTTTCATAAAATTACATTTCAATTAGGTCTAGACAAATGTAAACAGTTTTGTGGATGAAAAAGTAAGGATTGGTAATATTTGTATCATTATTTCCATTTTAATTTTTTTTTTCTAAAATACAATTTGGAACCCTATGTTTTTATTCAACTCCTTCATTTGTGATATTTATTATAATTTATCATTGTCAGGCTAATCAATGTTGTTATAGGCAAAGATGAATAATATTGCATAATCCTAGGGAATGGTAAAGTTTCAGTTCTTATGTTTGTTTAATGTTTCTTTTATATATTTTTTAAGCAAACTTAGGCTTTTTTCCAACCAGTCATTTCTTGAAATTCATCATGATCACGCACACAAACATTGTTATTGACGAAATAACATGAGTGTGCAGGAATCACGGGTTCCTATTATAATTATGTAGTGAGGCTACTGCAGACCTGTTTACGTGTATGATTTTAGCGACAAATTACATGTCTTTGCGATTCTCCGTCGAGTCCCTCCCAGAATAACAATTTCAAGAACCTGGTTAAAAGAATTTCCCCACCAGGGGGGGGGAGGGAGGTTTGATGCCGAAAATAATAATTTCGTCACGAGCACAGAAAGATTAGTGTGTTGTTACTAGGCTAAATATTAATACAGTGATATCTTGCAAGATATTTATGTAAACACAAAGCATTAATTAGTATGACGAAAACCGCGAAACATTCTGGTGATATTTTTATAGCCTTAATAACATATATTTAGGTAGCAATTGGCTCTATTAGAGCCACAATAATTATTGTAGGTATATGTTCTAGGTTGTAATTATATTATAAAAGCAAAGTGCACTCAAGGGTCTATTTTGCATTAATTCCCCCCCCCCCCTTTTCCAAAAATTCTCCTACCATACTAATTTAAAAACGTCTTAAAGAAATTAAAATAAAAAATTTAAAACCAAAAAAATTCATTAGATCAGGGGTCTCAAACTCAAATCATCCGCGGGCCGCAGGAGGTAGAGTCTGAGTGAGCCTGGGCCGTATCAAGTATTCCCCACAAAAAACGTTGGCTTGTTAAAGTACGTAGTGGAAAGAGCTTTCCACACTGATAGGTACTCCCAAAAAGTCATATGATCCACTTGAACAACCTGGAAATCTCAGGAAAGTAGAGGGCAGTGCAAAAAAATGTCCATTCTTGTCTGTTTTTCCATTCATCCCCCAGCGTGTTGTATCTTGTACATTAAAGAAGAAAGGGTCAGCAAAAATTGAAAATTGGCTGTCTCTGTTTTGAAAGTCTAAAAAATGTGATCAAATTCTTTCTGTAGCTTTGCAATGGCTTCAGTATACTTAATACTAAGTTACTACTGAATGGTGTGCCCGAGTCCATGAGTACTTTGCATGTTGGGAAAAGGCAGAGGTTTTTCTAAGAACCATAACACAAGTTTTGTGCAGAATGCCCTGACATTGTCATAAGCAACACTGACAAGCTGCTCCTGGTCTTGTAATTTCTTGTTGAAGACATTCAGCTCCTGTGTAATTTCAAAAAGAAAAGCCAAGTCCATGACCCATTTGGGATCACTTAGTACAGGAACAGCCATCCCATCCTTCTCCATGAAGACTTTAAATGCTATAACGTGTCAAGCAGTAGGCAGGAGCAGGACATATTTATGAATTATTGATGCAAAAGAAGAAGCTATTGTAGGTAGAATGAGTTTTGACTTTTTATAGTAGTAAAGGTCTTTTTGACTAACCCTATTTTGAAAGACAATCCTGCTATATGGATCAGAAACTTGGGGAAAAAACGGCGATCATTACGCAGAAAGTACAGACCTTCATAATCATAGGCGTTAGAAAGATCCTGAAAATCAAATGGCAAAATATTATCACCAACAAAGGTGTAATAGAAAGGACTCACCAGGTGCTCATTGACGAAGACATCTTAAATAAAAGATGGAGACGGATAGGACATACTCTCCGAAAACCCCCAGATAGCACCAACAAACGATTCCCAACATGGAATCCACAGGGAAAAAGAAAGAGAGGAAGGCCAAAGAAGACATGGAGACGCGAGCTAGAGGCACACATGAAAAATATTGGATACACCTGGAAGAAACTGGAATGGAAGGCACAGGACCGAGATGAATGGATAAGTCTTGTGGATGGCCTATGCCTCAGACTGGATAAAAAGGCATAAGAAGAAGAAGAAGATTTTGAAAGTTACCAAGGCTCACAATGTATGGGTGAACGATTTTCAAAATATCTAAATATTTCAGTTTCAGCTTCGGTTTCGGCCGAAAGTCTCTTTAAGCTTTCGGTTTTGGCTTCGGTTTTGACCGAAAATCATTTTTTACTTTGGCCTAATTTTGTTTTCGGCCGAAAGTCATTTTTTTTAACTTTCGGCCTAGTATCGGCTTCGGCCGAAATCAGAAAATAACTTTCATACGGTCTCTAGTCTTGCTATGTTGATTTTTGGAAATGAAGTTTGGCACATAAACAAAATGAAGAGTGAAGATTAGATGGTGAACAGTGAGAATATACTTGTATCAAATATTTTGATTCATTTGAACTGTGTGACGAGTGAGAGCATACATTAAATAATGATAGGTAGAGAGACACAAGAACATACCCCGGACACAGTTACATAGTGTTACAAAAAGGACATTTAAAAAGAGAAAAGGTTTGATCAAGACAGAAAATAAAAATGTTCATGAAATGCTAAATTATGAAGGAAAAAAACAACATTAAGGTCAGAAATTGTACTCGACTATGATAACGTTTGTTGGTTTAAATTGGAGATGGTCGCAATGGATACCAATGTTGACATATCAATTCTTATAGTAGTAGGTCACAGTCGAAACCAACATCCGCATTTTTGCCTCTATTGCATCAGGCCTTTCAACCCACGGTGCGTGATACCCTCTCTGAGTTGCCCTTGCAACCAGTCAAATATCCTCTTCAACACCAGGCGCAGAAACCTCGCTAATCCCATCTACATGCACAAGAACCAGTATGATCGATAAATTGATAATGGACCCTTAAGATATAGAAGAGAAGTCTTGTTGTAAAAGGTCACAGTCGATACCAATATGGACTTGTCAAGAATTTTGGAGAGAGTCACATTCGATTCTAATACCAATCGATCGAGTCTTGTGTAAGCCATTGTTTTTGCTGAATTTAAAAACGTAACGTAGAATGCTACAAATTTCATTTTTAATGTCTCTGAGATGAATTCAACCCAAATGATTTCAATGCAGATAAAACAATAGCTACTTGTTTAACACTCTCAACACATTTACCCCAGCTGTATAGAACTCACCATGTATGCTGAAAATGATCTACTTTTTCTAATTAATTTCATGAAGTGAAATAATTGTATCAACTTTGATGAAAATATCTAATCTATAGCTACAATTTAACATGGCCTTACATTACAGAAATAAGGCTTATGGGATTGTTAAAATTGTTGTTTATTTCAGATGGCCGTCCTTTCATTGACACCAGCTAACTAATATAAATGCAATGTATACCAAAGTCCTAAAGTAATGGCTATCAGTACCCAAGCCATAACCGAAGTCTTCGAATCAACTTTTGATTTGTAAAAGTATCTGCTTGTTTGAATGTGCCAACCATGTGATTGTGTCGATTTCCTTTGTTTAAAATATTATCTTTTGGACCTAATCAGCCAATGAGGGTTTAATAAACTAAAAGCAAAGATGAAATAATTCATTGAAATGATAGTTAATGCGAAATTTTTTTAAGTTTTTTTTTTTTTTTTAATAGTGTAAACCTTACGTGGGGAGTTAAAAGAGTTATTTACTTGTTCCCCAACACAGAGGGCAAACGCGAAGATCATTGGGGGTTGGGGGGGGGGGGGCATTTGGTGTTTGAGCCGGCGGAAGTAAAGAAAAGGGGGGGGGGAATGTGCCAAATGACCATTTTTATAATTTTTTTTTTTTTATATGGTGAACCTTAAGTGGGGAGTTAAAAGAGTTATTTACTTGTTCCCCAACACAGAGGGGAAACGCGAAGATGATTGGGGGTTGGGGGGGGGGGCATTTGGTGTTTGAGCCGGCAGAAGTAAAGAAAAGTGGGTGGGCAATGTGCCAAATGACCATTTTTATAAGATTATCACGGTTGTTGTTTATCAATAGTGTCCTTTATTACCCTACAACCCTTAACCTAGAGGTCTGAACAAGCCATGACATTAAAATATAATCTACTTTAGGGCTACAATAGGAAAGCTTTTTGTTAAAGTTTTTTCCACCATACCCTTTATAGGTCACATAGCGGTTCATGGTGCTCTGCAGAGTTTTGTTCATAGTTCACTCCCCAACATATTTTAGATAACACGCTCATTACCCCAGTAATGAGAGACTTATTTACTGATTAATGGGGTCATTAATAAGTTAACCCTGGTCCCACGTGACTCACGTCATGAGACGACATGACAATGGGGGGGGGTGGGGTGGGGGGTGACCGAGATATTAGCTTTTCGGCTTCTTTACTTCCTTCATGTTAACATCATCATTTACACATCTACATATCATCATTTACACATCTACATATCATCATTTACACATCTACATATCACCGTTTAACATACACACCAACCTATCACAGTTTTATATCCACATATCACAATATACAACCTAAATAGTACAAATTAAATAACTGCATATCACCATTTACACACATACATCACCATTTACATACACACATATCATTTACATACAGACACATCACCATTGACATACCCACATAACATCATTTACATACATACATACATACACATCACCATTGGAAAACTAAATATCACGATTTGCATCAGTACATATCACCAGCACTGTGTCCGCATGTTTCAACGTCGCCTTTTGTGTCGCAGTTACCAATAGAGTGACCAAGTCATGACCACGAAATGTGTGATACATTATCACAAGACAACGGATGTACATTCTTTTTTCTTAGAGAGTTTCTTAAACGTAACGTGAAGAGTTCATGTAAACAATGCAATGGACACATATCACGGAATAGTCATCCATTTAGTACAAGTGTGGATGAGTTTGACCATCCTAGCAATATAACAAATTCTCCATTATTTTTCACTTTGTGAATTTTATTCTGAGAAAGAACATGATCTAACAGTCAGTGGTTTAATTTTAGATTTTGGGAGATTGGTATGAATACAATAACAAAGTTGCCATCCAAAATCTAGATTCAGTAGGAAACTAGCTTTGTTTACATCAGAAGTTAAATAGCAGACGTCGCAGTTAAATAGCAGACGTCACAGTTAAATAGCATACAATAGCACCAACAATAAATAAAATCCGGTAACTTGAAGACAGAAACAATAATTTAAAAAAACAACAAAAAAAAAAACGGGACCTACCTGGCAAATCACATTACTGTCAACCAGGAATGGAATGAACTATACACTGTAGCTGGTCTGAACAACTCTGTATACATGTTGATATAAATATATATATATATATATATATATATATATATATATAACAAGCCAACTACGAGCTCACCGTGACCCACCCTTCCCCCGAACCGGATGACTAGATGGTCCTGGTCGATTTATATATCGCCTTTGGGGATGAAGCGTGTTTTTGAAATGAACTTTATTATTATTATTATTATTATATATATA